GATGATGATCAGATCACATTTTATGACCAATTTGTGCAGAAATCCATATCATTCCAAAGGGTTCACATACTTTTTCTTGCAACTGTATGTGTGTATAAGTGTGGCAATGTGTGCATGGAGGTATAGTGGGTGTATGGGGGTATAGTGTGTGCATAGGTGGTTTAGTGTGTGTGTATGTAGAGTGTGCATAGGGGTACAGAATGTGTGTACTGTGTGTATATAAGTGGGTATAGAGCATGTAGGTGCAGGGGGCGTCCTGTGTGTATGAAAGGGGGTTATAGAGCATGTTTGTGCAGGGGGCGTCCTATGTGTATGTAAGGGGGTTATAGAGCGTGTGGAAACCGGGGGTGAAATGTGTATGTAAGGGGGTACATAGTGTGTAGGTGCAGGGGGTGTACTATGTGTATGAAAGTGGGTGCAGCGTGTGTAGGTGCAAGGGGTGTACTGTGTGTATGTAAGGGAGTACAGAGTGTGTAGGTGCAGGGGGTGTACTATGTGTATGTAAGGTGGTGAAGGGGGTGTACTGTGTGCATCTACGGTGGTACAAAGTGTGTTGGTGCAGGGGATGTACTGTGTGTATCAATCGGGGTACAGAGTGGAGGTGCTGGGGGTGTACTATGTGTATGTATAGTGGTACAGAGTGTGTAGATGCAGGTAGTGTACTGTGTGTATATAAGGGGGTACAGAGTGTCTAGGTGCAGGGGGTGTACTGTAAATGTGTATATAATATGGCTTGATTAATTTAATAATAAAATATAATTATATACCATTTACTTCCCCTCTCCCTTGTTACCTTGCAGGTGGGAGGGGGAGCATGCTGCACACAGATCCCTGGGTGTCAAGCTGGCTGGTTATTTGGTCTGTACTGTGTTTGTACCATGTCTGTGCCTCTTGCGAGGGCCGGTATTTTAGAGTGTTGCCACAGGTTACCATGGCACCGCTGTTAATATCAACGCTTTTACGAGAAGACAGAGGCTGCCTAGCACATGTAAAGCGTGTTCTGATCAATTTCTTTGTTATAAGTTTGTGTGCCAAAACCCCCCACAATTTTACTCCAATATTTAGCAGAGGTTGGCAGTGAAATGGCTACGTAGAAAGTGTCAAAATAACCTTAGGTAAATAGCCTGTGATGTCTACTTTATATAAATATATACTTTTGGCAATTTTGTTTTCTTTTATGGCTATCAAGCTTACAAGACAAACATACCAAATTCTAAAATCGCTCCACATCGCTCCACAGTTTATTTTACTCCTTGTGCTTTGTGACCTGTAACTACCAAACAAAACTTTAAATCCCAGACACATTATATATTCTGTAAATCAGAACTAAATGAATTTATTTTAATTACTTTCCTTAACCTGCACTAATTGTGCACACATTATTATTGCAAAAACTGTAAAAACAAAAAAAAAACCACAAACATTTTTTTTATAATAAATAATTATATATATATAAAAATAAAAGTGTGTATTTATATAAATAAAAGTGTGTGTGTGTGTGTGTGTGTGTATATATATATATATATATATGTGTGTGTATATATATATATATATATGTGTGTGTATATATATATATATGTGTATATATATATATATGTGTGTATATATATATATATATGTGTGTGTATATATATATATATATATGTGTATATATATATGTGTGTATATATATATGTGTGTGTATATATGTGTGTATATATATATATATGTGTGTGTATATATATATATATATGTGTGTGTGTGTATATATATATATATATGTGTGTGTGTATATATATATATATATATATATATATATAGCAAACGAATAGAAAACCTCTTGCACTCCAACTTTAAATATATTGAATACCTGGTGCCAAGTCCCAAACAATAGAATTAAACCAGAACAATGAGTGAGCGGTAAATAACACAGATTAGCAGCAACCCTATAAGGGAATCCCTCAAGAACCCTTAAAACAAAACACAGAAGAGTAAAAAATACAAGAAAGGGCTGCGCTTGGATAAAACTTTAAATAATACGAAAAGTCCAGATAAAATCAATGGATAAAAGGAGAAAGTCTTATCTGGCAATGTCCGTTGAAATCGTATTATGTAATGGTACTTGGTCCGAAACAGTAGTCTTGCTTATTATCTTCCTTATGGACCGTCTCATATGCAAGAAATAAGAACAAAAACAGAGCCAAAATAGTGTAGTATATCTTGAATAAAAAAGGAAGTTGAAATGTAAAACTTGATTGCAAACTCACATTTAAAAGAGCTAGAACCCGGTATAGAGGGCGTACAGCTGTTTAGATCCCCGCTTGTAGAATATGAAATGACTTTCCTTCGCGTACTTCCTCCTTCCGTAGTATGAAAGACACTCAAATAAAAAGAGACAGCCAATAGTGTTCTCTGCGTAAAACTTTGAATAAAATATATGAAAATAAAAGTGGATACTCACAAGACAGGAGCAGATCAACTGCTCCTGGTAGTTCGCGTTGGTGGTATAATCCCCACCTAGGATTGCTTGGAGTCCAGCGAATAAAAAGGAATGATGCCAGGTAACAATAATAAATATATGTGTATAAAAAGATAAATGGTACGATAAAAGGTTACCAAATATACTTTAATATTTAAAATTACACAATATAAAAACCATAAACGCGTTTCGCCAATCGGTGTTATCAATATGGGTAAAATAGAATTAAAAAGGATGAACTAAGCCTAGAGTGCCGGTATTTTTTCATATTTTATATATATATATATATATATATGTTACATCAAATTAAAGCCCTTTAAAAAACGGTATATAATATGTGTCTGTGCAATAAATTAGTAAAATGCAAATAGCAGTTGAACGTAAACAGCAAAAAATGCGGTTGTCATTAAGTGAAAGACAAGCTTCTGAAGCTCTGTCCTTAAGGGGATAATAAAACAATTTTTCAAGTCCAAGTTAGGTCAAGTTTATAAACTTCAGAGTTTCAATGGCAAAAAAAAAAAAAAAAGTATTTAAATGGTTATATATAACCATGGTATCCAGAATTATCCGTGCCTGTATTATTAAAGCAACAGAGAAATGACAACATAGGGAAACACAGCATAGCTGGAAGAGAACTATATAATGGAAAATTCTCCCAACTTGGCTATTGTGGCCTGTGCTCCACAATTATGGGTTTTAGTGAATAACCCTCTCTATAGCGAGGAGCCCTTCACCTATCACGTGGTTTCCGTGAACTCATATATACTGCATCTTTAATTAATTGAATGGTATTCTATCCCATCGCGACCATAGTGTCTTTTAATACCACATTTGGTATTTGCCATCACTAAACATGGCGCCGATACCTGTGATCACGTGACCTGGATCCATTGGATCATGTGACCTGGTTCCCTGCCGCTTTGCTGACGAGCCCGGAAGTGACGCTTCTGGAAGTTATGATTACAGAGTGGCCTTCTAGCGTCTTTTATTAAATCGGGGCTGGCCCCGAGAACCGGAGCCGGTATGTGACTCATACTTCATGTTCTCCATTATCTACAGTGTATATGATGCTGTGTGTCCAGCTTACACTGTGTATCCTTAGTCTGCATGCCATTCAGTGCACACTAAATAGGCTGGCTGAGGATTATGGAAATGTAGTTCACATAAATCTGCAGTACCAAACCTCGCTACTACTGCACTTATATAACTTACTCAGAAAGTAACACCACAGAGTAACTCAAATTAATTTAAAATCAAATACATTACATTGCTCTTTTCCTATGGAAAATTTAATTATATTGTATTTTTTTTTTAAATTCAAATTTGAAAAGTATGAAATTTGACCTCATATATTTGATTTTTATAAGGTATGTACTGCTCCTATAGCAGCTTTCTGTTTTGCCTGTTGCCCTTCAAGGAATCTGCTTCTATCTGGATAATGCCTGCAAAATATGTATGGTCTGAGGAGTATATTAAGGCTATATGTGTTTATTTAACAGTTCATTTATAGCATAAATACCAATAATAATTTTAATCCGTTTGTAGTATGTTTTCATTATATAGTTAGGGGTTGTCATGTCAGCCATTGTTTATTTAGCTGACACCTATCATTTTTTGGGGGTTGTGTTAATGCTGCCTGCTCTTACCTAGAAATCATATTCTATGTTAAATGGATAGTATTGCTTTTTTTTTTGGTAAAATAATTGATTTTTATTTTGTGAGATGGATGGGGAATAATTATGGGATTTGAGAATGAAATTTGAAGAAAGTTTGGGTTTTGGTTGCAATCTTTTTCTTAAGGATTCATTGTATTTGTTACTCAGAGACACGTTTGCAAGTACACCAAACCCTAACTATAATGATCATATATGTTTATAACGTATATGTAACCATGGCATCCAAAAGTAACCGTGTCTGTATTTGCAGTGTTATAGCAGCAGATGATGTTCTTTCCTGGCTCAAAAACAGACAGGAACCTGTATATAGTAATATTTGTTAACCTCTGTTAAAGAAAGCATAAGGAAAACAAATGTAATCTTTCAGCGCTACTTTCTCTGTCATTTTCAGTCTGTGTTCCCAGCCTTCTGACATCTTATCTCACTACTTTGTTTATAGTCTGCATAGTTCTAAAATTGTAGAAAATGGCGGTATGTTTTGTCAGTTTTACACAACCTTAGAGATGCAAATGTTCCACAAATCACAGAACCTAAATATGCCATAAGAAAAGAATTGGTAATGAGCTTTACAAAGACACCGTATTCCTTTTGTAGAAAAAGACTATGCCAACCTTATAGTAATTGGCTATTGCTAGAAATTAATAGTTCAACAAAGGTTAGTACAGAAATAATTGGATAACAGCTGTAACTGTAATATTTTACATTTTCTATCACTGCAAGATAGCATTGTAATGCTTATGAGGGCATTTATTTCTAACTGTGTGGTAACTGTCTCCATTTTCCATTTACAGATCTCTCCCTGTGTCCCTTGCACTTAATCACTTTGCAGTTTCTTGGTGTTGAAGCCTCAGGGAGAGGTTGGAAATATGAGGCGTCTCAATCGCAAGAAGACGCTGAGTCTGGTAAAAGAGCTGGATGCTTTCCCCAAGGTGCCAGAGAGCTACGTTGAGACTTCAGCAAGCAGGGGGACCGGTGAGGGGGAGGAGAGCATAGCAATGGGATGAATAATTGGGGTGCAAGCATTATAAGAGATGGACAGATTCTAACTTTTGAGAGTGTAAAGGGTAGTTTAAAGGCCCTATTTGGGATTGAATTGATCCTTTCTTTTGTTCTAATGCATTACATACATAATGCATTAAACCGACACATGCAAAAATAACTTTAAAATAAAAAAAATCTTACTTTTTTCCTGCATATCTTGTAACTCTCCAGGGTTACTGGTTTAAGTAGTGAGTTGTGCCAAGACCAGGAAATGTTTCAGCCAATCATCATGCCTTCTTAAAGCGGCACTGCCTTGGCCGCATCCGTTTGTTTTTTGTTTGTTTTTTTAAAAACCCTCCCACCTCTAATACATCTAATAAGCTTCCCTGGTCGCTCCATATTACCTATATTTAATGTTTATTTTCTGCCCGGACCTAGGTCCTGGGCGCCACCATCTTTGTGTGGGTAGACTAACTCCCTGTGAGACACGTCATCTGCCCACACTAGATAGCGCTGTGAAATTCCCGCGCATGCCAGGTTCGGCATTCAGACGGGAATTTCGACCATTCGTCAAAAAGACAAAATAAATGAATAGAAATTTCAAACGAACAAAGACCGAATGTCGGTGTTTGTTCATTTATTACAAGGAGGGAGCTGCCGGCTCGTGGCTCCCTCCTGGTAATATGTAAAAATTGAAGCATCAGGGAGCTGTGCTCCCCGCCACTGCCTAACCCCCCACATGTCCTCCCTCACTCTATGGGGGTCAATATGACCCTCATAATAGCATAAGGGAGATTAAAATCTCCTGAATGCCCCTATTCGCTGTGCTGCGAGTAGTGGCATGTCACCTACACAGTGAGCAGCCTTAGGCTGCTCACTGTTGTGAACCCCCCCGTCTGATAAAAAAGCCCCCCCCCCCCACTTATCTATTAACTAGCGGAGGGGACATAGTGTCACCCCCGAGCCCCCACCTGTGCGCCGCGAGTGCGGGCTATGTCCTACAGGTGGGGACCCTAAATGACAATGACCGGGGACCTATTTTACCAGTCCCCCACCAATGAGCGGCAGGTGGGGGCCCTAAATGGCAAGGGGGTGGGGGATAGGCTGTATAAAATGACTCGAAACATTCTGATTGATTGAATTCCAAGTCAACCAATCAGAGTGTTATGAGTCAAATTACACAGTGTAGGAAAATGCCAAAGAACCTTCCCACGCTGTGTAAAATTACTCAGAGCACTCTGGATTTAAAGCCAACCTATAAGAGTGCTCTGATAGGTAAATAGTGAGCCAATCAGGTAAGGCTCACTATTTAACTATCAGAGCGCTCTTTTTGGTTGGATTAAACCAACCAATCAGTGCCCTCTGAGTCAAATTGAAGGGTGTGGGAAGGCTTTATAAGCCTTTCCTCACCCTGCGAAGCTCAGTCTGCGCGGTTCCCTCGCAGGGTGAACATGGATTTTTTAAAAAAAAAAAAATTTCCTGCTGATTTTGTATTTTTTTTTTTTTTTGCGTTCTGGACGTGGTTTATATTAAAAAAAAAATAAATAAAAAAAAATAAAAGTGCCACACAATATAGGCGATAAACAGGAAGGTGCGTCCAACCCCACTGTGAAATCAATCACCTAATTCCACCATACAATCTTTGAACATAGAAAACATATAGTGGGTGGAGCACACCGTGGAAAAAATACCAACTATACACAGTGAAATGGTGAGTATAGGGTGGTATAAATACCCTTATGTATATTCTTTATCAGATACAGCTGTAATAAATGGTGGCTGACATAGGGTAATATAGTTTGATCAATATATAAAGTAAAATTCAAAGTTAAAAAGACGTCAATTTATTTAAAAAATACATAAAAGTTCTTACATCAAAATAAGGTGCCTTCAGCAAAGAATATATCACATGGAGTCCACACACAACGCGTTTCAACTTAAGTCTTCCTCAGGTGTATAGGATTCCCCTCCTTTCCACTGTTTATATATTCGAATTTGGTGCCATCTTGGCAGTATAGCTCTGCCCCCCTGGATGCATTGTGTGAGGACTTCCAGCGTCAATTAGGTGACCGAAAGTTCCTCTAATGGCTGTCTGATAGTTATTCCACAAAGCTAATTATTGCAGTTTATTAACAAAAAAACCTGCAATAATTAGTTTTGCAGGGTTAAGGGACCTGGGACTATGCACCCAGGCCACTTCAATGAGCTGAAGTGGTCTGGGTGCCTATAGTGTTCTTTTAAGAAATAACTAGCACCCTCTATAGCTAACTTTTAGTCTTGGAAAATTCTCACGTGTGATAGTTCCGCTTTAAAATTTTAGGGATCAGAAGAATTGCACATTATAGGCCATAATAGCTGAATTTGAAAATATCTTCATTTTTTTTCAATTACTTTTTTCTATTTTTTAGTTTGGTCATTTTAATCTAAAAATGACAAATTCCTTGTCAAGTCTCTAGAATTCCTACTTTAGTAATAAACCCCTCTTTATTCCACTTGTTTTTAGTAACTATATTTAATTTTAATCTCTATTTTATTGTAAGGGTATTTGTTTACTTGGTGGTTTATATGTCCATTAGCCTGATTTGAGTTTATGTATTGCATAGTCTACGGTCAGTTGCAATCTTACATACATAGTTATAATCTTTAATTTATTTTCTTTCTAATTTCCCTGACACTTAAATGTCCCTTTTTTTTTCTTTTTCTTTATTTGCTTATTCCTCATTCATTCAGTGATTTCATTTATGTTCTTCCTTTAAGTATTTCTCCTCCTTCATTCACTCTCTTTATTTAGTGTCCCTGCTTGCATTCTCTGCTATGGCTCTACTCACTATTATGGAATTTCTGGTTTATCGTGACACATGGATGAAATATGAATATGAAGTTGACAAAGATTTTTCAAGGTACATTCATTCAAACGATTTTTAGCACTGCAAAACTTGGGAAACTATTTTTATTGAAACTTAAATGTATCCATCTCGGTTTTTTTTTCGATTTGCATGCTTGCTAAATATTTTTTTTTTTCCTTCTGTAACTGTCTGAAGCATAAAAAATATAGTGCAATGGTCATCTGTTCTAGGAAAGTGACTTTATTCTTGATATTGCTCGATAATCCTAAAATATCTGCAACAATTATATTACAATTATAGAATTGATAATACATAATGACATACAAACTGTTAACAGAAACTAGAGGTCCTGATTAAGCATCCTCACAGTATTCTGTTTCTGTGATGAAAGAGAAGTTACATCTACAGATAGCATGATTGGTGAAGAGCATGTTCCAGGCAGTACTGAAAGATCCTGGTGTCAAGTAGATGCAACCAAATCTGTAAAAGTTTTGAGACAGAAGAATATTTTGAGTTAAGCACAGAAAAGTTACAAGCGCACACAACGTTGACTTGGCCAAAATAAAGGGACATTATTGGCACCCAGACCACTTAAGCTCATTGAAGTGGTCTTCTGTGCATAGTCCGAGCACCCTTAACACTGCAAAGGTAATTATTGCAGTTTTAGTCGGCTAACTGACGCTGGACGTCCTCACGCTATGCATGAGTACTTCTAGCGTCACCAGAATTGTGATGTGAGCATTGGGTCTCCCAATGCCGGCTAATGTTGTCAGGGAAGGAGCGTAGCAGGCCCGAGCCAGGGACGGACGCACGCACACGATAATAACCTACAAGATCCAGCATACTCACTCGTCTACAAAACAACAATTTCAAAGCACACAGAATGTGTTGTTTTTTTTGTATGTGTGTTTTTGCTCTTGGAAAAAAAACATAACCTTCGCAAAAATAACAGGGGTTCAGTTACAGTATACATCTATAAAAATATATTTAATGAATCATGTATCTTATAAAAAATGGGTGCAAATGCCATTCATGATGAGCTAAGGTGCATAGTGTTCACATCCGTATTGTCGGGGTTTGTGAATGTGTTGTAAGTGCTGTTCTTTTGTCTTGCAGCAAATTAAGACTAAACATTGATATCACAGTGGCAATGCGATGTCAGTGTAAGTATGTTGTTTTCCCAGCAGAATGTAACTTTGATGGTTCATTAATTGCACTGTGTGTTTAATAAACCCTTACTCTCCACAGATATTGGTGCTGATGTGTTGGATTTGGCTGAGACTATGATAACATCAGCGGAGGGCCTTGTGTATGAGCCGGTAAGAATTTATTAACAGTGGCGTTCGTTAGAGCTGGAGAAGTTTATATAGATGGATCACAGCGTATATATTTATAGAGTTGCTAACCCACCAGTGTGTCACATTGAGTCTTTATGTGGACAATTGTAGTTTAGTATTCATAAGAAATGTACTTATAGAATATTTACAAAAAAGGTGTCCTGAGTCCTGTATTCAATACAACTAAAGGTACATTTTTATACATACAATGGTAATATACAATTAAAAAAAATTGAAATTAATGTATGCAGATGTTTTAAAAGACTAATGATTGGTGGCAGATATGTTCTCTAGAAGGTATTTCCGTTGATGTGAAGCTCTACAGAAGAAAGCTGCTTGGCTGATGTTTTTGAGGAGATGAATGAAAAATAATGAGCAGAAAGTGGAATGGGGGCATATGAGTGGAGGCTAGAGTTAAATACTCTGTGCACCATTAATTGGCACGGTTATAACTAACCTGAAATACTGTCTTTTTCACACATCAGTTGGCTTGGACATATAAATACATTCAAAATGAATATATAATGGTGCTCAAAAGTTTGCATACCCTGGCAGAAATTGTGAAATTTTGGCATTTATTTTGAAAATGTGACTGATCATGAAAAGAAACGTGTTTTATTGCAGGATAGTGATTATATGAATCTACACTGCTCAAAAAAATAAAGGGAACACAAAAATAACACATCCAGGATCTGAATGGATTAAATATTCTTCTGAAATACTTTGTTCTTTACATAGTTGAATGTGCTTACAACAAAATCACACAAATTAAAAAATGAAAATCACATTTTTCAACCCATGGAGGTCTGGATTTGGAGTCACACTCAAAATGAAAGTGGAAAAACACACTACAGGCTGATCCAACTTTGATGTAATGTCCTTAAAACAAGTCAAAATGAGTGTGTGGCCTCCACTTGCCTGTATGACCTCCCACGCCTGTGCATGCTCCTGATGAGATGGCGGATGATCTCCTGAGGGATCTCCTCCCAGACCTGGAGTTAAGCATCTGCCAACTCCTGGACAGTTTGTGGTGCAACGTGACATTGGTGGATGGAGCGAGACATGATGTCTCAGATGTGCTTAATTGGATTCAGGTCTGGGGAATGGGCGGCCAGTCCATAGCATCAATGCCTTCGTCTGCTAACACACTCCAGCCACATGAGGTCTAGCATTGTCTTGCATTAGGAGGAACCCAGGGCCAACCGCACCAGCATATGGTCTCACAAGGGGTCTGAGGATCTCATCTCAGTACCTAATGGCAGTCAGGCTACCTCTGGCGAGCACATGGAAGGCTGTGCGGCCCGCCCCAAAGAAATGCCACCAAACACCATTACTGACCCACTGCCAAACCGGTCATGCTGGAGGATGTTGCAGGCAGCAGAATGTTCTCCACGGCGTCTCCAGACTCTGTCACGTCTGTCACATGTGCTCAGTGTGAACCTGCTTTCATCTGTGAAGAGCACAGGGCGCCAGTGGCGAATTTGCCAATCTTGGTGTTCTCTGGCAAATGCCAAATGTCCTGCACAGTGTTGGGCTGTAAGCACAACACCCACCTGTGGACGTCGGGCCCTCATACCACCCTCATGGAGTTTGTTTTTGAGCAGACTAATGCACATTTGTGGCCTGCTGGAGGTAATTTTGCAGGGCTCTGGCAGTGCTCCTCCTGTTCCTCCTTGCACAAAGGCGGAGGTTGCGGTCCTGCTGCTGGGTTGTTGCCCTCCTACGGCCTCCTCCACGTCTCCTGATGTACTGGCCTGTCTCCCGGTAGCGCCTCCATGCTCTGGACACTATGCTGACAGACACAGCAAACCTTCTTGCGATGGCTCACATTGATGTGCCATCCTGGATGAGCTGCACTACATGAGCCACTTGTGTGGGTTGTAGACTCAGTCTCATGCTACCACTAGAGTGAAAGTACCGCCAGCATTCAAAAATGACCAAAACATCAGCCAGGAAGCATAGGAACTGAGAAGTGGTCTGTGGTCACCACCTGCAGAACCACACCTTTATTGGGGGTGTCTTGCTAATTGCCTATAATTTCCACCTGTTGTCTATCCCATTTGCACAACAGCATGTGAAATTGATTGTCACTCAGTGTTGCTTCCTAAGTGGACAGTTTGATTTCACAGAAGTGTGATTGACTTGGAGTTACATTGTGTTGTTTAAGTGTTCCCTTTATTTTTTTGAGCAGTGTATTTATGATGGCACGGTTGTTTGGCTCTTTTTTAAAAATCATAATAACCGAAATCGCCCAAATGGCGCTGATCAAAAGTTTACATACCCTTGAATATTTGACCTTGTTACAGACACACAAGGTGACACACACAGGTTAAAATGGCAATTAAAGGTTCATTTCCCACACCTGTTGCTTTTTAAATTGCAATTAGTGTCTGTGTATAAATAGTTAATGAGTTTGTTAGCTCTTACTTGGATGCACTGAGCATGCTTGATACTGACCCATGGGGAGCAGTAAAGAACTGTCAAAAGACGTGCGTAACATGGTAATGGAACTTGGAAAAGGATATCCAAAGCTTGAAAATGCCAATAACTACTGTTCAATTACTTATTAGGATCTGGAAAATTCTGGAATCTCTTGATATCAAGCCATGGTCAGGTATACCAAGAAAGATTTCAAACACAACTGCCAGTAATATTGTTCAGGATACAAAGAAAAACCCACAGGTAACATCAGTAGAAATACATACTGCTCTAGAAAAAGACACTGTGGTTGTTTCAAGGAGTACAATACAACTATACTTGAAAAAAATTAGCTGTATTGTCGAGTTGCTAAAAAAAGCCTAGACTGCGCCAATGCCACAGAAAAGCCAGGTTAGAATATGCCTGAAAACACGGACACACCTCACAACTACTGGCACACTGTAATTTGGAGTGACGAGACCAAAATAGAGCTTTACGGTCACAACTATAAGAGCTATGTTTGGAGGTGGATCGACCAGGCCTATAGTGAAAAATAAATCTACTGTGAGGCATGGCGGTGGCTCACTGATGTTTTTGCATAACAATGACCCTAAGCACAAGGCCAAGTTGACTTTACAGTGGTTACAGAAGAAAAAAGTGAAGGTTATGGAGCGGCTATCACAGTCTCCTGACCTTAATATCATCAAGCCACTCTAGATTCCCCCATCGCTGTGACCTGAAATAAAAGGTTTTAACCCTTTCATGACTGGGGTGGAGGCGAGTGCAGAGACACTATAGTGTTATACAGTGGCATACAGTTTTATACTGGAAGTGGAAAATTCGGAAATCTCTTGATATCAAGCCAAGGTCAGGTAGACCAAGAAAGATTTTAGCCACAACTGCCAGAAGAATTATTCGGGATACAAAGAAAATCCCCAGGTAACCTCAAGAGAAATACAGGCTGCTCTGGGGGAAAAAACGGTGTGGTTGTTTCAAGGAGCAAAATACGACTATACTTGAACAAAAATGAGCTGCATACTAGAGTTGCCAGAAAGAAGCCTTTACTGAGCCAATGCTACGAAGAAGCTCGGTTTCAATATGCCCGGCAACACCTTGACACGTCTCACAGCTTCTGGCACACTGTAATTTGTTGTGACGAGTCCTAAATAGAGCTTTATGATCACAACTATAAGAAAGCATTGATTAATTGCTTTCCTATGAGGAAGCTCTGATGCGTGTGCTCCATTCGCTGCACATGCACATTAGATTCCCACATCACAATGACAAGAAAGAAAACGTTTTAACCCTTTCATGACTGGGTTGAAGGTGGTTGCAGAGCCAACGATACACTATAGTGTTAGGCATACAGTTTTATATTCCTAACATTATAGTGTTCCTTTAAAACTACTATAGCAATCTTTCAGTGTCTGGAATGCTAATGTAAAGACTGTGAGTCCATTCATTCCTTCCCTCTCACTGACAGAAGGAATGATATGACCCATTGAAACTTTGTATAGTGTTTGGAAACAAGGGGTTAGCTTAGATTTTCATCCAGGCATTATTTCCTTGACTAGAGGCTTCTGGCAGAGAAATGCATACCTCTACAGGCTGGTAATCATTACTTGATTATAAATGAGGGAGTGAGGCTTTATGGACCCTCATTCTGTATAATTCATGAAAAAATAAAAATGTTTATATGCTGGTAGAGAAGCGGTTACTTATAACTGGAGAAAGCCTGATTTAAGTAGAATGTAAGGATGGTCAGTGCATTTTCTCTCCACCAACACGAGTGGTTGTTAAATAATAAACTTGTACTGTTTAGTAACACAGCAGTGGCCAACTTTACAGGACCAAATACAAAAAGAGGGACATGTACTATATTGTAAAATGGACAAAATTGTCATCCAATTCCAGTCCATGGATTTAGAGTGCAACACTTGTTACATTGCTAGAATCATCCCACATGTAGATTAATGCCTAATCTCACCTAGTGTCTGACACTTGTTTCTTGTTTTTTCTGCAGGTGACGTTTGACCTCTCCCCTCAGCAAAGGGAGTGGCAAAGGTAAGACGAAAGGAACACCAGTGTGGGCAAATAAACAGTCTCTATTCTGTTGCCATTTCAACAGTGTGCATTTTTTTTCTCAGGATGTTGCAACAAATCCAGAACCGTTTGCAGGAAGAGTTGTCTCTGCAGGACCTCTTGTTCAAAAGTGCAATGAAGAGTTCTGTCACTGCTTTGCCTCCCAGGTGAGAGTGCATCATAATTACAATGGAGAATCTTCTCATATGCTGTTGACATATTGTAACAAAGTGTTGGATGACATATCCAGTGCATATATTAAATGTCAGATAGGTAGCCTGTCTATCCAACATCTAAACCTGAGAATTAGATTCCCTGCTTGGCTAACACATAAACCTGGTGATTAGATGACCTCACAACGAACATCTAAACCAGATGCTAGAGGAACTCCCTTACAGACAGGTTGGGGCTTGAGGATCTCTGAAACATTTTTGTAAACCTGGGGCTGGATGACCCCTCCAATAGATATTTAAACTGGAACTGATTGACCACCCCAAAAGAGAAGATCTAACTTTTGGTTTAAGTAAGATTCCCATTCTGCAGGGACTATATACGTTTTGTTCTAGCAGTATCCAGTAAGTCCTGGGTTCACAGTTAAAGGAAAACTCCTCCCATTCCTTTGATTCCTGTATTAGTCCTCTTAGCCAACATTTAATGCATAAAGAACCTATAAAAACAAAAAAGGTGAAGGATATGATCACCCCGTAAAGAAAACGGGCTGGTCACCTTCAAGCCACCCCAAAATGACATCTCAAGAAAAATAATAAACAACTTTTATTGGAAAACTAGAGAACAAACCGAGTTCTAAAAATAAATGGATACAAAGGGCCTGGTTTCTGCAGAGATATAACTACGCACACATGTATCAATTTCTACACAGTGTAGCAGACTCACTCATAATAGAGTAGTAGCTAAGATACATGTAGCAATATATAGTAAATGGTGCCTTTTTCAAGGGCAAACAAAAAAATAATAAAGTAAACCGCATACAATTTCCCCCCCAGAACTATTTAAATGTCTTCCCGTACCTCCCATCTGATGTAATTGGTTGTAGCTTGACCATACGTAAATCCGTATCGAGAGGGGGAGATGGAAGTAACTGCGCATGTCAGAGGAACCTTGCGCATGCGCGTCCAACAGACTCCAAAGTTAGTGCGCATGTCAGAAGAGTAGTAATTAACGCGCATGTCCGCTCACCGGCGGACACGCATGCGCGAAGACTTCCTGCATATCTAAAAGGATATCAAAAAACGCCTTAATAGTGCGCATGTCCGCAGCCTAATGGCCGCGCATGCGCGAAAACTTAGACACGGAATAAATCGCATATATAGACGTATCTCAATTCAATTATAAAGAGGGAAAATACCTCTTTATAGTTGGTAACTGCTAAAATAATTAGGCTAAAAGCCCTATATGGGGAAGTAAATGATAGAAGAAGTTATTATAGAGGGCAGAATGAAGAAACGGAAAATAATAAATAAATCCACGTTAATGATTGAACTAAAGTCACATTATCTAACCAAACACATATATATTTTATTTAAAGAGACTAAAAAGAATGGTATAGATCAGACCGTTCCAACAAAGGCTGGATGTATAAGAACAAATAAAGAACAAAAAATAATAGTAAGGAGTAACTATGCAAAAAAAGCAACAAGACAAAGTAATGCAAGGATATATATATATATATATATATATATATATATATATATATATATATATACATATATATATATATACACACACACACACACACACACACACACACACACACACACACACACACACACACACACACACACACACACACACACACACACACACACACACACACACACACACACACACACACACACACACACACACACACACACACACACACACACCCCCTATACAAATGTGGTCATAATTTACAAGTTTAGTTACAGAAGAGAAAAAAACGTGAAAAGGGGATATAAATCCCTACGTATATATACACAAGTAGTCTTATTTATGCCTCTATCCATATATACAAATGTATTTACTTACTTACAAGTTCAGTTTAGATGTATGGATATAAGCATAATATAAAGACCCGTATATATAAATAAATAAAGACGGAAACCGATTAAATGAACAGGGCAAAGGAAAACCCCTCATTCAAACCTAAAGGTTGAAGGGTCTTAAGTTCATATATCCATCTGGACACCCTTTGTCTTAAAATTTTATCTCAGTCTCCACGTCTCGGGGTCCTTTTAACCAGCTCTAAGCCACAGAACCTAAGGTTACTGGGATCCCCCTGGTGGTGTTCTCTCAAGTGTCTCGAGATAGGAGTCTCGAGGCGATTCCTAGGGGATCTCACATGCTCCATAATCCTGTCTTTAAAAGCCCTAAAGGTCTTCCCTACATATTTCTGTCCACACATACATGATAGTAGGTATACGAGGCCCTTGGTGTTACAATTAAAGAAACTTTTAATTTTAAAGGAGCCCTGTCCCTTGCTATCATTCACAATTTTAGAACCTTTCAGGATGAACTTACAGGCTACGCATCTACCACACCCATATGTGCCTGTCGGAGGAGTACCCAACCAAGTGGCACGTGGTTTTGGTTTAGTGGAGAAGTGACTGGGGACCAAAAAGTCTTGAATATTCCGTCCACGTCTAGCTGTAATATTGACATGTGGACTTAAAGTATCCCTGAGATGTACATCATTCAAAAGGATAGGCCAGAATTTTCCCTTTTTTATAATTGAATTGAGATACGTCTATATATGCGATTTATTCCGTGTCTAAGTTTTCGCTCATGCGCGTCCATTAGGCTGTGGACATGCGCACTATTAAGGCGTTTTTTGATATTATCCTTTTAGATATGCAGGAAGTCTTCGCGCATGCGTGTCCGCCGGTGAGCGGACATGCGCGTTAATTACTACTCTTCTGACATGCGCACTAACTTTGGAGTCTGTTGGACGCGCATGCGCGAGGTTCCTCTGACATGCGCAGTTACTTCCATCTCCCCCTCTCGATACGGATTTACGTATGGACAAGCTACAACCAATTACATCAGATGGGAGGAATGGGAAGACATTTAAATAGTTCTAGGGGGGGGAAATTGTATGCGGTTTACTTTATTTATTTATTTTTTTGCCCTTGAAAAAGGCGGTTAGACCGCCGAAACGCGCGTTGGGCTGTCCATGTTTCATTTAGATTAACCCCAGTGTTTCTGGATTACAGGGTGTTACACCAATGTTTGAGCTATCTTGTTGCTCTGGACACTTGTATTAAGGTGGTGGGGCTTAGTGAGCTACTTGTGGGTAGATACAACCTTCAACTACTGTTGTATTACGTTTGACAGGTTAATTTCACTTTATTTTTCATTCTCACTTTATTACCTCCTCTATCCTTTCGATTTCTATACCAGAGTGTTAACCCTGTGGGGTCTGGTGCATGACACCATTTACTACATATTGCTACATGTATCTTAGCTACTACTCTGTTATGAGTGAGTCTGCTACACTGTGTAGAGATTGATACATGTGTGTGTAGTTATATCTCTGCAGAAACCAGGCCCTTTGTATCCATTTATTTTTAGAACTCTGTTTGTTCTCTAGTTTTCCAATAAAAGTTGTTTATTATTTTTCTTGAGAAGTCATTTTGGGGTGGCTTGAAGGTGACCAGCCCGTTTTCTTTACGGGTGATCATATCCTTCACCTTTTTTCTTTTGTGCTCTATGCAGGGTTATGCCCTTTTTGCCACCCCACTAACCCTCCCTTTCTGGTACTCCCTATTAGGTTGTTTACCTGGGAAGTACTTTTTTCTATAAACCTATAAAAACAGTAATGAACAATCTGCCACATATGGGAAAAAGCAGGATACTGAATTACTGTCCTCTGCTTTTTTTTGTTTTGTTAGGGATGACACCCCTACAGAGCCACCCAACGCCTGCAGGATTCATGGTCATCTTGAAATCAATAAGGTGGCTGGAAACTTTCACATCACTGTGGGCAAGTATGTTATTCTCTAAGGGGTTGCTGCTATTTATAAATCTATTGTTTATGGTGGGAATGTTTTTAAGTATTCCTAATGGGATTATTTTAACTATTTGCATATTAGACCAAGTCGTTTTTAAATATGTCATATTGGTGTAAAAAGGAGTAGTGTTGTACCACAGCTGAGTACAAGTATGTTATGTGTGGTTTCATACACATCTGTAAACATATGTAAATTTATTTTAACTAGGGTGATTTTCTTTCTTTGTGCATACTTATTTAGCGGTTTGTTTTGTAGTTTTATTTTTTTTAATTTTATTTTCAGTCTGTGTATCTCTCAGCACTCAAAACCTTTTTCAATAGTCCTTTTTAAGTGGAAACTTTTGTTTAGTTTTTTTTCATCTTTTTGGTGAGTTAAAATTGTTTGAAAACTCAAAATGGCACTTTATGGGGACACTACAGTGACCAAAATAACTTAAATTACTGAAGCAGTTTGTGTGTATAGATCATGCCCTTGCAGTCTTACTGCTCAATTCAATTTTGTTTCTGTTTATATAGCTCTAGCCACACCTCCCCTCCCTGTGACTGACACAGCCTACATGAAAACAATATGGTTTAATTTTCAATCAGATGTAAATTGCTTTAAAATGTTTTATCTCCTGCTCTGTAAATTAAACTTAGTTTACATCCAGGAGGCTCCTGCAAGGTCTAGCAAACTATGTACAGTGCAGCAGATTAGAAATGATAAATAATTTAAAATAAATAATTTGCAATAAAGGAAGTGTAAACATTAGATGACTCTTTACAGGAAGTATTTGTGCAAGTCACATGCAGAGTTGTGTACCTAGGCTGCATAAACAAAGTGCTTTAACTTGTAAATGGCAGATAATTGAGCAGTGCGACTGCAGGGACATGATCAAAACAACTTCATTAAGCTAAAGTTGTTTTTGTGACTGTAGTGTCCCTTCAATACATAGTTAAGTTTTATTTTTATTGCTCTATGGCAGCGGTTCTTCACCTTATTAGTCTCAGACCTTCCCTGAAAGTAAACTTAAAATTCACACATCCCTTCCTTTCCAAAAAGAAATTAATAATGGATAATTGACCTGAAAATGTTATTTTCATAATACATTATTAATTTGTGTGCTTAAAAAATTATTTTTATAATATACATTTTTGCAAATAAAAACACTGCAGCTTATCAATTCCATCATGGCCAAGGTAACATGTGAACCCACATTTAACTTATTCGTGACTGTTCCGTTTTTTTTTCCCCCATGTTATCGTAGGGCACAGAATTGTAATATATACTCATCTAGCAGCAGAGTTAATAATGGAACAGCTAGCATTGGAAAGGAAAGACAAACTGTTAACTAAGCTAGCAATAATTAAAATAGTCTTGGAAAAATCCATTGTTGCAATCAATTAGACTGTGCTTTACTATATAACAATGACAGTCGCCAAGTACATAATTATCGTGTGACTGCTCTTCTAGTGTTCTTGCAATTCTTGTAAGAAAGTATTGTATGAGTCAATTCCAGTACAGGGGTTTGGTACAAGATTAAACTATACAGAAGGCTATTCTTCATTTTACCAAACACAACTGCACACAATAACAGCAGTCTACGTTTAACCGAACACTCTTGATTATATGATTTTTGATTTTCAGGATGCCTCTGAAATTTACAAATTTATAAAACACATTTATAAAAGTGCTAATGAGGAATGTCACACTTCCCCACTAACACCTTTACACCTTCCTAGGAAGTACCCCTCACAGGTTAAGAACGCCTGCTCTATGTCTTTTATTTTTTTATTTTTTAGATACACCTCCAATTAAAACATGCATACATTTAAGTTGCAAATCTCTTGTCTGAAGCCTCTGCAAGCATCATAATTACCAGCTTAGGACTTTCTGTGGCTGTCCAATCAGACTTCCCAATGCTGCTCATAAAAAGTATTTGCAAGACAGGTGCTCTGAGCAATTATTGAGTTTGGATCCACTGAGATCAACTAGCAGGATATAACAGGACCAGTTGTCTGACAGCCAGGGGGTGTAACACTGTTAATTTATGAAAGTGCCAATTTCTTTTGAAATGTCTCCAACGTGGCTGTTCCATAAACATATATAGTCTGGGCTATTGATTGTTCTGACCTTGTTTGGTCTTCCCCGTTCCTCAAGTCTTTGAGGGTATGTAGAAGGACTAATAAAACTTGTTTAATTCCTTCAGTACTAATTTAAAATTAAGATAACAAAGGTCGGCAAACTATAGTCATGCAGGTGCCTAGTAAATGTAATCCAATCACATTTGCTCTGTTATGTTTTTTTTTGTTTTTTTTTTAATATATTATCTAATACTGCATTTTCATTACTCTTATAGAGCCATTCCCCACCCAAGGGGTCACGCGCATCTTGCAGCTCTTGTGAGCCACGATAGTAAGTGGGAAACTTTTGTTCATTATTGCTCTCCCTGTCAAAGCAAATACATTTTTATAAATTGTTTTCCAGGATTAAATGCAAAATTCCTCCCACTTTAAACCTGGCCGGTTTTGTATTCCCATTTATTTATCCAGACTATATTCACTCCAAGGACAGTGGGAATTTGTCTAGTGTTACTATCAAAATGAAACCTGTAGGGTTGGACTTTAGCTGTGAAGGATTAAATACTACTCTGCATGAAAACCAGACTTTGTTTTTCATTTTTGTATTTTATTCAAGAGTGGAAATTATTAAAATGGAGGTGGCCCCATCAGTGTCTGTGCATGCATGTGCCTAAAATATCTTAAATATTTTCTTTAATTTTTCCCCCCCATTAATGCATGGTTTAATTGGCCTCTTCCATCACGTAACACTTCATGGACTGTTCACATATAATTTGTCTTAATCCACAGGCTACAACTTCTCCCATCGTATTGATCACTTTTCATTTGGAGAACTCTTGCCTGGGATTATCAATCCTTTGGATGGAACTGAAAAAATAGCCATGGACAGTGAGTATAACCACATATAGCCTGCCACCCGTAATTGTTGCCAGATGCTTGACTTTTGATTTTATACTACCTTTCTCACCCACCAACTTATATATTATGTGATCTCTTAAATGCATTGCGCCTTTTTTTTTAAATTTTTGTTTTTTTTTGCCAACGTTCTTCTTTATGTGTAGCATTATCAATCTGGTTGGCTGACATGTTCCTACCTTTTCATTTTTGTTTTATATATTTTTAACACCATGCCTCATATTTCTTGCAGGTAACCAAATGTATCAGTATTTTATTACTATTGTGCCAACAAAGCTAAACACAAGAAAAGTTTACTGTGACCACCATCAGTTCTCTGTGACAGAAAGAGTAAGTTTTAGAATGCCAAACCCTCAAAAGATATTAAACCACAATCTTGTGCTACTTGTGTAGGTAGTAATGTTCATTGTAATGTTTCTTTTTACAAAGTTAAATGAAAGATCTCCTTTAAGTTCTTGCATTATTTGATTAATGTTACCTTGTGTTTGTAACCAGGAGAGAGTGATAAATCATGCCACTGGCAGCCATGGTGTATCTGGGATTTTCATGAAATATGACATCAGTTCCCTGATGGTGACAGTCACTGAAGATCACATTCCTCTGTGGAAGTTTCTAGTGAGACTCTGTGGTATCATTGGAGGAATTTTCACCACTACAGGTGAGAGTGCGTGAGCTGCAGGTATACACTTGTATTTGTGTATCTGTGATTAGAGCTTGTCTTTGAGCTACATTTTTATCTTTTGGTGGCAGGGATGATTCATGGATTGGCTGAATTCTTCATAGATCTTATTTGCTGTCGTCTGAAGCTTGGAGTTTACAGACGTCATGAAGTGAGTATTGTTGTATGAATATGGATCACCATCTACGTTAATGGATAATCCATATTCCCACCAGCTATTTCTGTATCGCAAAATCTCTGTTATTCGATCCTTTTCACTAATCAATTTACTCTTGTTTATACCCCCACATTTCCACTAGTAATTATTTATTGATACTTCATTTTAGCATTTATTCAGTTCTTTCATTTTCTACTTTGAAATTTGTGTAAAATTCAACTTCTTTCCTTTTTTTTTATCTCCCTTGATCACAGCTATTGCTCATCTTTGTTTTCTACTTCCATGCTCTAGGACAGGGGTTCCCAATTAATTTTACCAGTGGAACCCTTGGACATAGTGTTCTAACATTGTGGAAAAACCCTTACCTTTTATCTGCAGGAGAGTGACTTCCTTTAGTGCTGTTGGCTGAGGCACTGCTCAATCTCCACTGCTCCCTCCAGCCGGCGTGCTCGGTCTGGGAAGAAGTGCTGTCACTTCCTCCTAGCATCCCATACTACAGGGGCCCTGTCACGAACCCCTGTTTAGCGATACCCATCTTGGGCCACCCAATGGAAAATCGCTGCACCCCAATTTTGTACTCGCGGAAACCTAGGGTTTCCTCATAACACCAATTGGGAAACACTGTGCTAGTATAATTACCACTAATACCCTCCTCTTATTGTTTTTTTTTCCCCTTTCTACAGAATAATTACTGTTTGCTGCCCCTTTCATTATTGTCCCCTACTCCTCCTTAACATTTTTTTTTTTTTTTTAAATCCTTTATTTTATAACAACTTTGTTCATTATGTTATGGTGGCAGGAGTGTCTTGGCACCATCTTTCTGTCAAGGGTTAAACTATTTTCGAATGGTTTAACCCTGGAGTTGTTCCATCCGCTCCTGTTAGCACTGCTTGCTTCAGTCTTCCAGCCACCATACAGTCCAGAAAGGTTTGCCAGCTGACGCTCTTAACCTAGAACTTCTAAATGTGAGAAATAGTATGTACTATATCTCGCAATGGGCAGCCATTGATAGGCTGAGAGCGTCAGCTGACAATCATCCTATCACTGGCTGCTAAGGAAAATCTTCCTGGAGTGTACACCGGCCTGAAGAGGAGAAAGAGGATGGGTATCTGGGGACCCAACTTCGGATTTAAACCAGTCAAAGCCTTTATTACAACTTTACTGAATTAAAGTTATGGGGTCTGGAGTCAGGTGGCAAAGTTCTATCAAAGTAACACTCCTGTGTGACTACAGCACATAACTTAATATTAAAAGTTGCGGGTTTTGGAGTCACTGGGACTTCATAATCTTACAAGATTAAGGCAAATGGTTTAACCCCAATTTGTCCCACCAGCACCCAAAACTGCCTACTGTCTCCTCCTCTGCCATCACAGCAATTAGTAAAGTTTGATTTGGCGGATGGTGATAGGCTCGGTGTGTTTGTTCCGATCAATACCAATGTATACACTTGACCAAAACAACACCTTTAATGTTTGCCAACAGGCAGCCACTTGAGGCATTTCCTCATTTTCAAAATGTGAAGATCTTCATGTTCCATGTATTCACGGCACAGCATACTGGTGCAGAATACCTCCAATGCTTCTTAGAGAAAACCATTGAATTCAATGCTTCTATAAGAAGCATTTGATTAGTGTTTCTCTCACGCTTCTATGAGAATAAGATTGGACAAAAGTCATCATTGATGACTTCACTGGATAGGGAGCAGCTGCATTGAGGAGACTGATCTGGTGCTGGACTTCAGGTGATATATATGTTATACGTTGTTACATTAAAACCAAATATGGTATTAATTGTGTGTGTATATAAAATACATTAATACCATATTTGTTTTTTTATACATTCTTTAGACTATCCATCTTTCTTTTTTACTTTTACATTGGTAGCAATATGTCCTGCAGGAAGTTTCACCCCTACTTCATATGAGTGAATTTCTCGAACTATATTCTTCTCAACACTGGGCACATTAATCTTCTTTTATTTAAGACTTACCTTGCTAGTGCCACCTGTATGGCATACTTTATGTGCTCTTGTCATTTATGAGTGTACCCCTACTTACATTAACTCCTTAAGGACTGCGGATGTACTAGGTACGTACGACAAAAACGGTCCTTAAATACTAGGTACGTCCGCAGCAAATAGATAAATAGATCACTTACCCGATCGCTGCCATTCTCCCGCTGGCGTTCGGTGTTGCTACCAGTCTGGGGGGAGCCTGACAGCCCAGACAGTGCCCCCTCGGCAAATTAGGCCCTCACAGGCCATGTGATCGCTCTTAAAGAGCGATCACATGGCTGCAATAGGCATCCATAGTGCTGCCTGTAGGGGGGCTGTCAGGCAGTCTCCCTGCATCTGTAAAATAAAAAAAAGTTTTGTAACTTAAAAAAAAAAGGTGTGTGTGTGTGTATATATTATGTCATACTAATTGTATTTTTGTATTATATACATATATTAAAATAAAAATACACTTGTAATTAAATTACACACGTGTGTGTGTGTATATATAATGTAAAATGTAAATAAAAATAGATAAATGTCAATTTTATATATATATATATATATATATATATATAATATATATATATATATATATATCATTTTTTTCTAACTTTATTTTGATAATATATTTATATCAAAATACACTTAGAGCAAAATTATATCTATATGTAAAAAATAATATGAAATATATATATATGTCCATATACATAATTACATAAATAATTTCATAAATATACACGTAGACTTCAAATATATAAAGATGTATATATATTTTCATTCTATGTGCATATTAATGTAATATTTTAACATAATCAAGTAATTTTAATGATTGCAATTTGAGGGACCTGCCTGACAACCCAGGCCGAAGGTCCCTGAGAATTTAATTTGATAGCACTGTATTTAACCCTGTAACTTTACATGACACCCTAAAACCTGTACATGGGGGTACTGTTTTACTCGGGAAACTACGCTGAACACAAATATTAGTGTTTCAAAACAGTAAAACATATTACAGCGATGATATTGTCAATGAAAGTGACTTTTTTTTTGTTTTGTTTTGTTTTGTTTTAAATTTCATTTTTCACACACAAATGGCACTTTCACTGATGTTATTGTTGTGATACGTTTTACTGTTTTGAAACACTAATATTTGTGTTCAGAGAAGTCTCCCGGGTATAACAGTACCCTCCCCTCCCCACCATGTACAGGTTTTATAGTGTTTTTGAAAGTTACATGGTCAAATATAAGGCTTGATTTTCTGTTTTTTCACATTGAAATTTGCCAGATTGGCAAAGACAGAATGTTGCCTTTGAGAGTGTATGGTAGCCCATGAATGAGAATTACCCCCATGATGGCATACCATTTGTAAAAGAAGACAACCCAAGGTATTTTTAGTAGCCATTTAGTCACAAACACTGGCCAAAGTTAGCGTTCATAATTGTTTTTTGCATTTTTAACATACAAACAAATATAAATGCTAACTTTGGCCAGTGTTTGTGACTAAGTGGCTACTAAAAAAGACTGGACATACCCCATATTATATACCCTGGGTTGTCTACTTTAAAAAAAAAAAAAAAATGTATGTGTGATTCAGAGAATTATTACAGATAAGTGTTACAATGTCACTATTGATACATTTAAAAAATATATATTTTGAAACTGCAATGTCCTACTTGTACTTTTAGCCCTATAACTTGCAAAAACAGCAAGTTAGAACATATTAAAATTGGGTATTTCTAAACTCAGGACAAAATTTAGAAACTATTGAGCACGGATGTTTTTTGGCGGTTGTAGATGTGTAACAGATTTTGGGGGTCAAAGTTGTTTTGGTTTTTTTTTTATCATATTTTGTAAAAAAATAAATTAAATTATATTATATGGTGAAAATAATGATATCTTGAGAAAGACCATTTAATGGTCGAGAAAACTGTATATAATATGTGTGGGTACAGTAAATGAGTAAGAGGAAAATTACAGCTAAACACAAACACCGCAAAAACAGCCCTGGTCCTTAATGATAAGAAAATTGAAAATGGTCTGGTCACTAAGGGGTTTTAAATTACATATTGAAACACAGCCTGATGTTTTTTTTTCAGGATGGCCACGTAGACGGTATCTCCTCTAACCACTGCACTGCAGAGAACTTCCCTCCGGATCCACTCTGAGTGATTTTTATTGTAATAAACATTGAAACGTTTTACAAGATCAGCCGTGTGTGTGTGTAAATAACAGTAGGCGCTCTTCTCCCACACACCTTAACATTCTACAGTCCATTCCTTGTCATTCTCCCATGTCTGACAGACATATACATACATCACCAGATGCTTCCACCACTCTGAAAACTAGTTTTCCTTTATTTTTCTTTGCAGGAGCTGACCACCAGAAGTAGAAACCTAGCTACATCTGTACAAACTAAGATGCTAGCACTGTGTACACATGTGACACCATGTTTATAGATTTAACTATATATAGATAATCCCTAGTGTCCACCTGTCTGTCATGCTCTCTTTCCTCCCTGTTCATGTACACATACAGCTATAGATATTTTGTCTAAATATAGTATCAGACTTAGCCTAGACAATGCAGATCTTTAGCTATCATACTTGGTACTTTTTTTTTGGATTTATGCTTCTCTGGTTCCACTAGATGGCACACTTGACCTCTTATCCCGGTTTTAAACATGTTGCTAGTCAGGTAGCTCCATATGTTGGAGAGACCAATCACCGTTCAAAAGACTGATTCAGATTGTAAATTTGTGACATCTAGGAACATCTGCTAAACACCATTATACATATAGCACCCAACATCATATGATAATTGTGCACATTGTCACACATCTAGTGTTTCTGACTTTTAACTCTATGGCATTATGGATTCGTGACCATCCCCAGCTGCTGCAGGACTTATTTGCTTTACTCCAGCCTGCTTTGGGTAATGGTCCAAGAAGTTGTGTGTCTTAAATCTGTGCAAGAATGTATAACTAGTGCTTGCAATAACGGCAGTGTTTTTATTTTATACTGTTATAATGTGTATTCATCTTTTGACGACTGTAGGCTGCAAAATGTAGGGAAAATAGCTGGCCCCACAATGTTGTCAGTTCTCCATGAATAACAGTTCAGTGGTCAAACCTTTAGAAGTGCACAAAGCATGTTTTTCAGCACATTGCTCTTGCTATGACACTTGGAATGAGATTTTTGTAAAATTCTTATGCATTTTTTATTTTCAACTCTATGCCTTGGGGTGGAGAATATTTTAATATGTGGATAATTTAGTGAATATCCACAGCATGAGAAAAGGCAAACTGTCTGTATTATCAAATTAGATTTCTACCATGCTGGCATAATATTTGCTGCACGTGTTCTAGTTATACGACATGTCTGCATAGAATCTTATCGTTCTACAAGAAAAAAAGAGTGATGGCTAAATGTGTTTTGTAGACTACATTTCCTGTGACCCTTACTTTATCTTTAGCTTATTATTATGGATCCTTCAGCCTACCGTATATACTCGTGTATAAGTCGATCTCATGTATAAGTCGAGTGCAGTTTTGTGACCAACAATTGTGAAATATGCTATGCCTCGTGGATAAGTCGAGGGTAAAACTTGGGGCTATGAAATTCTGTGATTTTTATAATTATATACACACACACTCATACAAACAAACACTCTGCATTATATATACACACTCATACAAACAATCTGCATTATATACACACGCTCATACAAACACACACTCTGCATTATATACACATACTCTGTGTATATAATGCAGAATGGGTGTTTGTGTAGTGTGTGTGAACTAGGTGGGGGGAGGGCATTTTTATTATTTTTAATTTTTTTTAAATTTTAATATTACTATTTTTTTTATTTTAATTTTTTGTCCCCCCTCCCTGCTTGTTAAATGGTCAGGGAGGGGGGGTATCTTAATCCCTGGTGGTCCAGGGGCATGGGCTGTGAAGTGGGGGGGCCGGCAGGAAGCATTTACTTACCTTTCCTGCAGCTCCTGTCAGCTCCCTTCTCCTCCGTTCCGGTCAGCTCCACTGTAAGTCTCGCGGTCTGGTTGCCGCGTGGATTGTTGCCATGGCTCTGACGGCCGCGGCTCTATAAGTTGTCATAATACAGACAGTGACTCGAGTATAAGTCGAGTGGGGGTTTTTAAGCACAAAAAATGTGCTGAAAAACTAGACTTATACTCGAGTATATACTGTAACTGATATGCACAAATGAGAAGTGGTACCAAGTGTTGGATAATTATAGGAGTTCCATTTGCTGGTTTAACGGATTGTAATGAGTGATTTTGAAGATTAGATTGTCTTTAATTTTTGTCAAAGTTAGCACCTTTATTAAAGTGCCTATTTTTTTTTTTTTTCTTCTGTAATAAAATGTGTAAAGTTAGTTCTTGTGTTACCCTACCACTCATCCAGTGCTTCCTTAAACAATGAAGTTAAAACGGTTGTCCAACCAGCATTTGTATTTATTTTGAGGGTGGTGTTTCTTCATGTTTCCATTTCTTTCCAGTGCTGGTGTTTTTTTTTTTTTTTTTTTGTTTTTTTAGTCCATAAAAGTGGGAACACTTTGCAGGTGCCACACAGACTCCTGTAAAAGGCCCATAGCATCGATATCTATTCTGAAAATTGAGATCCAGAAGTATCCTACAGATTTTTCAGATCTCTTCCACTGCAATGCTATGTAGTTGCTGTGTTTAAATTTCCTCTGGAAGCACATCTTGTAATTTTCTAGATCAGAAGAGGAACAGAATAACAGAGGTCTTATCGATCTACCCTTCCCATACTTTGCTGTGCCAAATATAAAAGGAACACTCCAAGTGTAATATCCACTACAGCACACTTATCTAAAGGGATTGCATGCTGTAGTGGTTATGGTTCCTGGACTGCCCTGCCTTCCCAGTCTTCCCTCCCACCCACGCAAGTAGTAAAACTGTTTAGTGATTGTGTGACTAACTGCCTATGGCCCAGTGACTGCATCCACTCACTCAAATTCGAGGGTTGTAGCGTATCCAGGACCACCTCATTGGCTGAGAGTGTCAGCTGATCACTCTCAACCGGTGCGCTTAGCCCTTACCCTGCTGCGCTAAGCCCAGAGCTGAGAGGAGGCTGCACTGGAGGTAGGGTGCCCAGCGGACACCAGGTAAGTAGTCTGTTTAGTAATCGTGTGCCTTTTTACACTTGGCAGAAGGAGGCTACTCCTAGTACCATAACAACTACACTGTGCTATAATAGTTGTGGTGCATGGAGTGTTCCTTTAATGTCAGGATCATCTGCATTATGTTGCATGGTAACCACAAAAACTTAGTATGTAAGTGTATTTAGGTTTTTTTTCTTTGTGTTTTTTTAGCAGCTTGATGCTTCTTGCCTGGCTTGTAATTAGCAAATGTATCTCTGCAAGAAAGTGTTCCGGCAATACTATGCACTTACAGTACTGTATAGAAGTCCCATTACTATCCTCTGTTGGTATATTATACACACACATACTTGGTTAGTGGCGCTTGCTGCGGTCACTGTCTGTTTGGGTTTCTCAGGCTCTGGTAAACGTTGCAGATGCTTGTGGATTTTTGCCTCTCTCCCTTGTAACCACTTGTGGTACGTGGTCAGAAGCTGCCTTTACCTCAGAACCAGCAGCTGGAAGTCCCAGGAGAGGAAATAGGGGACAAAATCGAGCAGAGGCCTACACAACCAAGGAACCTGTGAATTGATACATTTCATCTATACAGGCACTTATTTCCTTGCATCTTATCCAGTCTGGTTACATGTTAATTCTTGCCCCCAGGCTTTTCTTTCTAATATAAACAAGGCTCAAAGCTCTTTAAAAATTTTTTATATATATATAATTACATCTATTTTATAAAAGTAAGGCTTAATTCAGTATACAGTGAGTAGATAAAATGCAAAAATTGGACAAATTACTTTACTTGGCTGTTTCTGCCTAACAGGGTTATGTGCTAGAGTTCAAAGGGGGCAAAGTCTTCCGGCTGTTGAGTCCATTTGGACTGCAAAGTGAATTTGATCCAGATTTAGGCTTCAAATCCAGGCCAGGATTTAAAAAAAAAAAATAATCGTAACTATTTGCCAGCAAGCAGCCAGCGGTAAATAGTTAAAGAGACACTGCGTGTGAGGCAGCAGGTTGGGGCATATCTACTAAACATTTAAATTGGCTGCAGGAGGGTGCCTTAATATTTATGGGGGAGTGGGGAGCCTGTCCATAACCCGCGGTGGAGACATGGCTCCAGGCAGCACTGACAGCTGCCCCTCTCAGTGGCTGTCAGGAGGCTCTCTAATTAGGCGAGTTAGGTGGCCACCTAAGGCCTCGCGGCTGCCTAACTCACCATAGGGCAGGCAGACTGTGTTAAGTCTAAGGACCCGACACCAGAACGAGGCACGGCGGTTTGCCACCGTGTGCGAGACCCCTCCCATCTTCCATAATGGGCAGAGAACCAGCACAGTCTGCAGCTCCGCCAGGTGTGAGCTGCAAACTGCAGTGTCACGCGATCTCTGGCCAATCAGAGCGTTGCCGCGGTTTACCACGGCAATGCTCTGACTTCTGGATATCGCCAGACACTGCACAGTCTGCAGCTCACACCCGGCGGAGCTGCAGACTGTGCTGGCTCTCTGCCTCTCAGGGCAGATTGGAGAGACGGACCACCAGGGATCAAAGACACTGGACCACCAGGGAAAAAAATAAAGAAACATAGACATAGAACATAGAAACATAGAATGTGACGGCAGATAAGAACCATTCGGCCCATCTAGTCTGCCCAATTTTCTAAATACTTTCATTAGTCCCTAGCCTTATCTTATAGTTAGGATAGCCTTATGCCTATCCCACGCATGCTTAAACTCCTTTACTGTGTTAACCTCTACCACTTCAGCTGGAAGGCTATTCCATGCATCCACTACCCTCTCAGTAAAGTAATACTTCCTGATATTATTTTTAAACCTTTGTCCCTCTAATTTAAGACTATGTCCTCTTGTTGTGGTAGTTTTTCTTCTTTTAAATATAGTCTCCTCCTTTACTGTGTTGATTCCCTTTATATATTTAAATGTTTCTATCATATCCCCCCTGTCTCGTCTTTCCTCCAAGCTATACATGTTAAGATCCTTTAACCTTTCCTGGTAAGGTTTATCCCGCAATCCATGAACCAGTTTAGTAGCCCTTCTCTGAACCCTCTCTAAGGTATCAATATCCTTCTGAAGATACGGTCTCCAGTACTGTGTACAATACACCAAGTGAGGTCTCACCAGTGTTCTGTACAATGGCATGAGCACTTCCCTCTTTCTACTGCTAATACCTCTCCCTATACAACCAAGCATTCTGCTAGCATTTCCTGCTGCTCTATTACATTGTCTGCCTACCTTTAAGCCATCAGAAATAATCACCCCTAAATCCCTTTCCTCATATGTTGAGGTTAGGACTCTATCAAATATTCTGTACTCTGCCCTTGGGTTTTTACGTCCAAGATGCATTATCTTGCACTTATCCACATTAAATGTCAGTTGCCACAATTCTGACCATTTTTCTAGTTTACCTAAATCATTTGCCATTTGGCTTATCCCTCCTGGAACATCAACCCTGTTACATATCTTAGTATCATCAGCAAAAAGACATACCTTACCATCAAGACCTTCTGCAATATCACTAATAAAAATATTAAAGAGAATGGGTCCAAGTACAGATCCCTGAGGTACCCCACTGGTGACAAGTCCAAGCTTCGAATATATTCCATTAACTACAACCCTCTGTTGCCTGTCACTCAGCCACTGCCTTACCCATTCAACAATATTTGAATCCAAACTTAAAGATTGCAGTTTATTGATAAGCCTTCTATGTGCAACAGTGTCAAAAGCCTTACTGAAATCTAGGTAAGCAATGTCTACTGCACCACCCTGATCTATAATTTTAGTTAAGTGGCTGAGCATTTTTAAAATTACAATCCCCTCCCTCACTGTCACCCCACCCTACTGTGTCAACTCCTTTCTTCCTCAGTCACTCTGCCACCTTTTACCCCCTCCCTCAGTCACTCTGCCACCACCTCCCTTACTGTGTCACCCATCCCTTACTGTGTCACCCCTCGCTCAGTCATTCTTTCCTCTGTCACCCCTCCCTTCCTCAGTCACTCTACCTGTCACCCTCTCCCTCACTCTGCCACCCCTCCCTCTGCCACCTTTCACTCCCTCACTGTGTCAACCCCTCTCTGTCACTTTGCCACCTGTCACCCCCTCCCTCCTTCATCCACTATACATACCCACACACACTCACTCTCTGCATCCACTATACAGACACACTCTGCTACCTGTCACCCTCTCCCTCACTCTGCCACCCCTCCCTCTGCCACCTGTCACTCCCTCACTGTCAACCCCTCTCTGTCACTCTGCCACCTGTCACCCCCTCCCTCCTTCATCCACTATACATACCCACACACACTCACTCTCTGCATCCACTATACAGACACACAATGCATTCACTACAAACACTGCATGCAATCCACAGACACTGCATCCACTACACAAATACACACTCTGCATCCACTACACAGACACTGCATTCACTACACACAATGCAAAACATTATGGACATTAGACCTCCCCATAGGAAAGCATTGAAAAATGCTTTTAATGCTTTCCTATGGGGATTTCAGCAACGCTGGGGGTCCTCACATAGCGTGAGGACGTCTAGCGACGCTATAGCACACTTTCTGTGTGCTATAAACACGGAAGTGCCCTCTAGTGGCGGTCTAGTAGACAGCCACTAGAGGAGGAGTTAACCCTGCAAGGTAAATATTGCAGTTTATGAAAACTGCAATAATTACACTTGCAAGGTTAAGGGTAGTGGGAGTTGGCACCCAGACCACTCCAATGGGCAAAAGTAGTCTGGGTGCCTGGAGTTTCCCTTTAAATTGACTTTAAAAGCAAGTACTAGTCTCTAAATTTGATGACAACATACAGGGTAAATATATGTAGTTTGGAGGGATTCAAATTCCACTTGTATATGATTTTCATTTTGTTTTTTTAATTCTTTATTTTTGTTGCGCAAAGAGTGAACAAATTAAGCTTGCATCGCCACAGCAGCGGGGCAAACAATGCAGTTTCATACATGTGGTAACAGTGATATGGCAGTGAAGGTTCATGCACAAATTTTGTATTTTTTACAAGTACTTCAAGCTATACGGTTAAAGCTAAACTAGATAACATGTTGCGTGGAAAACAATACTAGATAAGAATATGACTAAGAGTATACAGTTGTTAGAGAGAGTTACGTTAGAGTTAGGCATATCGGCAGGTTTGTTTTATGATTAGTATAAGAGTTTTACCCCCCTCTGATCCCCAGCATTTGGGTGCATGTGGGTTTGTGTTGAGGTCAGGCGTATGTGGACGTGGAGTGTGCCCTTGTACAGTGTTAGGTCTACGGTGTTATGTGTAGTGAATCTTTAGAGTTGTGTGTGTGCTGGCTGCCGTGTGGCTGTCCCAGTGATTAATGAGTCTCTCATTCTATGCCCTTTGGGCTTGTGATGGTCTCCCAGTGCATTGGGATGAGCTTTGCCCCCTGTGGGCCGGTAGTGCTGAGGTGAGCAGTTCCATATTGGGTAGTCGGTCTGGTTGGTGGGCCATGCCCAGACACTTGTGGGTAAGTCTGTGATCTGTGCGTTCGCGGGTCGTTGCATTGCCGGTGTTGGTGGGCAGCCACTGCCGTTAGTCCCTTGGTGCGCCGCTTTCGTATGCTGGCTCTGTGGGTTGCGCCGGTCCAGGGTCCTTGCTGGTTCTCAGCGCTTGGGTAAGGTAATTTTCTGCACTTAACTACGGGTGCTCCATTGGTTTTGGTTGCTCCCGGTCTTAGTGCAGCGCCAGACCCCTGCTGTCGGAGTGGGCCGTCCCGTGTGCCTGCTCGGCCTGGGGATGGAGTGCCGTGGGGTTGGTACATTCCACACTGGTTCATCCTGAGGCAGACACTGTGGTGTGTTTCCCGGCGGGGGCTCCTGCTCTGTGGGCCATGTGAGGGCCTCCAGCTTCTCCCAGAAGGAGCTGAATATGCTGCTTAGTAGTTTGCTTTCCAGACAAGGAGAGAGTGTTGCTCGATCATCGCATGGTGTGGGGATCGTGTGGGGGTGACCCGGGATAACCCCTGCTGGTCCAGACGGGGGGGGGGGAACGTGGGCTCCAAGGCGAGGTATCGTCTGTACTCAGCGACGGGAGAGCGGCCGTCTCTCTGGCTCCTGCCATGCTGGTAGGCCTCACCAGGGTGGTCGGTTCGTACCGGGGCTGGTGTCAATTAGCGGGTATCATAGTGTGCACCCCGGTATCCCCTTTCGCCAGGAGGACTTTTGTCATTAATTTGACGCCTATTATTAAATGAGAAAAGGTAGAGAGAGTGTGTCAGGTTGCTTAAAGAGAATGGGGGGTAACCCCTAGTAATTGAAGCAAAAAAAAAGAGAAAAATACCAAAAGAATCTAAAAAGTACACTTATGGGTATCTAGTATAGTATTACTATAAAGCAACCCTTATCCAGATAAAACATAACTTTGAATAATATATTATAAAAGAGGCACAATAGCCACAATGTAAAGAATATATAAATAGTATCTAAAGTTAGTATTGACTAGGAGAAGGAGAAAGGAGGTTTAGTATAAATGTACAATTTAATACAGAAGTGTCACAATGTCTATTCGTGGCACAGATACATCAGGGACGGAAAGGGTTAATGTGTGAACTGAACTTGATAGCCCACTTTGCTTTCCGCTATTATCATCCAATCCCACAGTAATAATCACGAGCCCCCCAACTCTGTTGTACTCGTCTCCTATCTAACTCTAGATTACTAGTAAAACATCTAAATCACTTGTAAAGTATAAAGAAAAACGTATGTGAAGGGTGGATGGTTCGGAGCTAAATAATAGTCACAGCTGCAGCATCGTCCCTGTCTCTCTCCACCACCCTTCACACTAACTAGTCCCGACGCGCGTTTCGCCGAAAGTCGGCTCTTCCAGGGGAACCGAGCAAAGAATAAACGGTCTTTTAAATATCCCGCCCTCTCCTGTAATTGGCTACTAATCTGGCCAATTGGAAAAAAGGGGGGTGGAGCCTTATCCTCCACGCCAGTTAACCCTAAAAAGGTCAATAAGCTGGATAGGAGGAAGGGTAGTTTAAGTAAATACGTGTAAATAACTTTGTTTATGTATTGAAATAATGTACTGAATCATTTAGGAAACAATGAAATGTTAAAGATTATAATAACCACACAAATCTCTTAAGAGGGAGCTGTCCAAAATAAAAACGACAATTCTATAAGGGGTTATTTAGTATACCCTATGATTGTAGATTATGCTAGCTTTAGTGTACCTATAATCTTAATTTTATTAATGACAGGAGGCGAGTATTTGCTTAAGACTTTCTTTACTTAAGCTTCACAGCAGCACTTTTTTACTTAGTAACAAGGTAACCAATCAGAAAAAAGGATAACAAGGTATATAAGTCCCTCCCAGTGATGTCATTTCCTCTTTCTGGCTGCGAACAAATAGGAACCGGAACTGTAGCAACCAGACGAGGGATTCAGGATGCCAGATGAGAAGGATGATACTTGAGAGGGAAACTGGAACGTAACTTGAGTTCTTGAAGAGCAGAGATGAAGCTTGCGGTGTAACAGCAACTAGACTTGACCTCTTAAGGGAGTTTTACGCTGAAACGAGAGAGCAGAGTCGAAACCAAGGATTAATCCGTGAATTGGACTTTGAAAATATGATAACCAGTTGATATGAATCATATATTATAGCCTGATAGAAAACGTTAATCTATACATCTTAGAATGTAATTTCTAACCCCCATGGTAGTAGTGCATTGTGTGTTCCTTCTTGTCTTAGAAACTTACCTACAGGGGCGACCCTAGGGTGGGAAAAAACGAAGGTAAAAGTGGTGGGAAATACTCGCCTCCTGTCATTAATAAAATTAAGATTATAGGTACACTAAAGCTAGCATAATCTACAATTTTATAACATGACAGGAGGCTTCGTATTTGCTGTTTTAACGCTCCCCGAGAAGGGCCAAGGAAGCGTGCACAGCCGGACGAAAATAGAAGTTGCGGAACGTCTGTTCTCGGGACCAGTCTGCGGAATGAAGAATGTCTCGAAGAGAGGCTCCAGCGCTGAATGCCCCCGATGCCGCCACTCCTCTGATGAAGTGGACTCCGAAGGAGGTTTCAATCCCGGCTAGGGAGAGCAACCACCTAACCCATCGGGCAAGGGTTGTGGTTGACACTGGATTATGCGGTCGGACATATGAGACCAATAGTTGGCTGGAGGAAGTAGGACGGAGAGAGGAGGTGAGTAATAAATAATGAGAAAGAAGAGATACCACACACAATTTCGGGTGGTTCGGGAAGTAAGGGTAAAATATAGAAGAGGAGTTAGATTTCGTCCGTCTGGACACGGAAAAGGTGACACCCTCTGGGGAAAAGTTGATAGCGTCATGGTCAAATGCTCGAACATCCGATACTCGTCGGAAGGACACTAAGCAAAGTAACAGGGTGAATTTTTGCTGAGAGTTGGCGGAGGGATAGATCCTCGTTGTTGGGCCAAGTCTCGAGGAAACGAATCATGACATTGACGTCCCACAGATGAGAGTATTTCGGTTAGGGGGGCGAGCCAGTTTGATGCCTCGCAATAGTCTACAAACCAGCTGGTCCTGGCCCACTGGAACCCCGTCTAGAGGGACATGGGCTGCAGAAATGGCTGAACGGGAAACGTTGATGGATCTGTAGGAAAGGCCTAGATCGAATAGATGAGAGAGGAAATTCAATATGAACTGTCTAGGGGGCCGTAAGGGGATCGGTATTCCGTTCCAGGCACCAATTGCACCAAGTGTTCCAGGAGGAAAGATAGCATCTTCTAGTACCAGGGGCCCACGAATCCCAGAGGAGTTCCTTAGATCTCTGTGATAGTCCTCCGAAGTGCCAGGTTCCCCTGAAAGAGTCCAAGCTACTAGGTGGAGGTGGCCTTGTGCCATCATTGGATGAGGGTTCCCTAGAGGGTCCTCCAGGAGGTTGGGCCATGGAGGCAGAAGGAGAGGATCTTGGCAGGAGAGGTCCAGAAGATCCGGAAACCATGTTTGGCCCCGCCAGAGCGGGGTGAGTAGTACCAGTGTGATCTGTTGTCTGCGAATCTGAAGGAGGGTTTTGGGAATCATTGCGAACGGAGGAAAGGCATAGGCTCCCGTCGTCGGCCAACTCTGAAGGAAGGCATCCACGGCCGAGCATTCTGGGTCTGGAAGCCAGCTGAAAAACCGTGGAACTTGAAAATTTGTCCGGGAGGCGAATAGTTTTAGGATAAACGGGCCCCTGAGTTTGGAGATGTGGAGAAAGATTGTTCTGTGTAGGCGCCAGTCGCTGCCGTCTCTCCAATGTCGGGAGAAACAATCCGCGGTAATGTTCGTCTCCCCTGGGAGATATTCTGCCCGAAGTGTGATGTTGCGTTGGAAGCAAAATTCGTAAATGTCTTTTGTCACTTCGGAAAGGGTGCGAGATCTGGCTCCGCCCAATTTGTTGATGTATTGGACAGCTGAGATATTGTCCATCCGAAGGAGAATACAGCAGTTTGAGAGATGACTGGTCAAACTGCGAATTGCGAACGAGCCTGCGATTAACTCCAGACAATTGATGTGGAGAAAGTGTTCTGAGGTGGTCCATGGTCCTCCAGTGGAGGTTGTATGACAGGTTGCGCCCCAGCCCTGGAGGCTCGCATCTGATTCCACCACAAAGTCCGGGGTGGGACCGAAAATTGCCTTGCCGTTCCAGGCCGACATGTGGCGGAGCCACCAAGACAGTTCCTCTTTCACCTCCGTAGTGATCGGGACCCTCTGGTCGTATGATGGATGGGTCCGGAGGAATTGAGCTTTCAAGCGTTGCATGGCCCGGTAGTGAAGGGGACCTGGTTAGATTGCCTGAATGGAAGCAGAAAGGAGGCCGACGATCCGAGCTAATCCTCGAAGGGGTAAATCCTCTTGACGAAGCGTTTTGCGTAGCTCCTTTCTGATCGCAGTTAACTTGGACTGAGGTAGGCGAAGAACACAGGTTGAAGAGTCGATCTCGAAGCCGAGAAATTGAATGACTCTGGATGGGGACAGTGATGATTTCTCTTGGTTTATGACAAACCCCAAGGATTCGATCAATACAGATGTATAGTTCGTCTGTGAACGCAGTCTGGATACGTCTTCGCAGAGAAGCAAGAGGTCGTCGAGGTAGATTAAACAACGGATGCCCCTTTCTCGAAGATGTGCGGTGACTGGTTTGAGCAGTTTGGTGAAACACCACGGGGCGGAACTCAGGCCGAATGGAAGACAGGTGAATTGGAAAATTCAGTGGTGCCAAAGAAAACGGAGGAAACGCCGACTGGATGGGTGTACAGGTACCGAAAGGTAAGTGTCCTTGAGGTCGAGACGGGTGAACCAATCGCCTGGTCGGAGAATGTCTCTGAGGAGATGGATCCCTTCCATTTTGAAATGTCTGTAAATAACGAAAGAGTTTAGTTGACGAAGGTTGATTACTGGGCGAAATTCCCCTGATTTCTTCTTGACTAAGAAGATGGAGCTGAGGAAACCTTTGTCGAGTGGAGCGAGTTGAATCGCTCCTTTTGTTAAAAGAGAATGTAGTTCTGAATCTAGGCAAAGACTCTGAGACCTTGCCATTTTTTGGATAGTGAGGATAACCTGTTTGAGAGGGGAGAGAATGAAACTCTATGGAATAACCCTGAACGGTGTTTAGGACCCAGGTATCTGAAGACAGTGTCTTCCACATGTCTACACAGTGTGACAACCTGCCCGCATGATGAACAGTAGAAAGGTGAAAGGTAGGAGCCCTGCCACAAACCCGTAAGGGTTGATAATGAAATACCCTTTTAATGGATGACTGCGCCTTGTTTAGTGTGGCGTATAAGTTTACATGTTTATGTAGCTCTTTAATATAGGGTTCTCCAAACAATAGACCCTGTGCTTTGGGGCCCGATTCTTTTGTTCCCAAGTCAGCTAACTTGGCATCTATACGCAGCAGCACTGCTTTTCTACGCTCAGTACAGAGTGATGTATTAGCATTGCCCAGCAGGCCAATAGAGCGTAGAGCCCATTCTCTGATCACCGATGGGTCTAGAGGGCCTTCATTAGATAAGGCTTCATCAGCCAGTAGAAGAATTTTTGCCAGAGGTCCTAGGATATCCAGCATTTTGTCTTGGGTTAGACGTAGGCTGCGTTCCATGCCCTTTTTTGGGTCACTGCCCGATCTGGCCAGATATGTATAGAGCAGCGTATCAAACTCCGGGGTCACCGCGACCTTATCCGGTAGAGTGGGTCTAGGACATTCAGCTCGTAATCGTTTGCGGACCTCCCGATCTAGGGGTCTTCTGATCCAAAAATGAATATACTGGGAAAGATGGTCTGGTAGTGACCATTCAGATGATCGAGGATATCTAATTTGTCTCGGGTCAAAAAGAGGTTGACCAAGCGTATCCAGAAAGGATTCAGCGTCCCCAGATGGAAGTGATCCGGGTATCATAACTTCGGTTGGGAGGTCTCCCGTAACAGATTGAGGGAGAGGTGCTCCTTTAAAGGATGTCTCGGGCCAGTCCTCCTCATCTTCTGAGGAGTGGTCAGCTTGCCATTCATCTAGGATGGCTAATGGATGTAAGTCGAAAGAGTCTTCCTCTTCTTCCGATAGAGTAGGCTGGATGGAGTGTTTCTCTCTAGCATCCACCTGTTTGGGGCGTTTTGCCGGTTCTTTCCCCTTATGTTTGAGGGGTTCAGGCCCATTCCCTTTCCAATAACGTTTATGTGGTTTGGAAGGGTTTCTTTTTGTGGAATCGGAATCCTCCGCATTTTCATCAGAAGGCGGGGTTTCAGAAATTTTAGGGTCTTTTGGCTCAATGGGCAGCACCCGAGCCAGGGCCTTATCTAGCGAAGCAGCAACGGCTGCATTTATAATTGCTTGCAAGTTTTGATCTTGATTTGAAGCCCCCATAGTAACAGTGTTGGTATCTATGGGGCAGAATAGGCCAGTGTTAGAGTGTAGATTAAGGCCGTCTCAAATATCACGGTATGATATTATTTCACATTGCAAGCTGTAATTGGGGGTCACCCAGTATAAATCACCTCAGGGAATACTTTTCAAACCCGTATAGAGGTATAGTGGCACAGACAAAGCGGGCCAATCATGGGCTGTATATGATAACAGCAATCATAATTTAGTCTGATGTGTTTAACCTTATACACGTGCACAGTGTAGATATGAGTTGTAAATATAAGGTATATTTAGTGATTAACGATAAATTATATATGCAGTATGAATAATCCTCCACTAGAGGGAAGTAGAGTGAGACGGAGATGAAACTGCCTTTGGAATTAAACTCCTTCCTCAGTAGAAAGGAGTAAGCAGAAAAATAACTCTTTGTTATAATTAAAATAAATGAACATGGATTAATGAAATAAATTATGAAGGAGTATAGATATATGTTTAGATAACGTATTTAACCGCAATAATAAACAGTAAAATGGCCGCCGCACGGCCAGAGTAGATGGAGATCGCGGCTCCAAGAAAATGGCCGCCGCGATCTCGCGCATGCGCACGAGTGAGGAAGCCGTTTGGATCCCGCGGAAGGGCGCGAGATCCAAGATGGCCGCCGTGCGCTCTGGGGACCGTTGGAGGCGTACTCCGCGGTCCCAAAAGCCCGGGAAAAACGGGGCAAAAAATGCCGCTCGAAGAAACCGGGCTAAAGGAAGGTAGAAAATAATAAAAGTGACAGTAGTCAAATATAAAAGCAGAAAAAAGGAGAAAACAATGAAATACCAAAGTGTAGATAAAGATGTGGAAAAAATAATTTTATCAGAAATAGTATAAAGAGAAAAAATATATATATATATATACTATAAAGAAATATGAAATAAAGAGATGACAGATATGATAAATAATAAACCACAGAAACCCACAGAAGTAGGAGACAGTGGCACTCTGACCTGTACTGGTGTGAAGCAGCAAAGAAAGAGGAAATGACATCACTGGGAGGGACTTATATACCTTGTTATCCTTTTTTCTGATTGGTTACCTTGTTACTAAGTAAAAAAGTGCTGCTGTGAAGCTTAAGTAAAGAAAGTCTTAAGCAAATACGAAGCCTCCTGTCATGTTATAAAATTGTTACTTCAGTTGGTAACAATAACTCGTCCAAAGTGTTACTGTATGTAAATGGAGATCTAAATGGTTTAGACCTTAGTAAATTAAGTCAATGCCAACACAAATACTTTCTTTTGGGAGGTCTTTTAGTAAACCTTATAGAAGAAAAGGATTTCTGACTATATACCAATATGGTATAATGGCAATGCCTGGTTAAAGCATTGTCCTCAAGAAAGACTATGATTTAAAGATACAGCTACATGTTTCTAAATTGAAAATGTAACCATTACAAAAAGTCAATTGGTCATGAAAATAACCAATAAAAAAGAAAGCCAGATAGGAGCTAAAGCGATTAGTTGCCATTGAAAGGAAAATGAACAGAGATAAGTTCACTCTGAAATCATCTCCATGCTTCAATCGGTTTTGGTTGATTTTAGAAAAAATATATATAGATATAATGCCAGTTACAAGAGGACCATTGGTCATGTAAATAAACACCTCAACGTGTCAAAAGAGGTGGAGAGGAAAAAACAAAACAAAAACTATTCTTTTGCCCTTCAGGAATGAATGAACGGAGTAAAATTAAACTCTTCATTCAGTCCTTTGGGGTATAATGTTTGGAAAGAATAGATCCAGCGAGACTCAGCTTTTCATAGAGAAATATTAATGTCGCCTTTACGGTGATTCTGAAATACTTTTTGAATTACCTGAAATTTAAGTACACTAGGTTTGGAAGCATGGTTGAGTCGTACAGCTTATTGACCTTTTTAGGGTTAACTGGCGTGGAGGATAAGGCTCCTCCCCCCTTTCTCCAATTGGCCAGATTAGTAGCCAATTATAGGAGAGGGCGGGATATTTAAAAGACCGTTTATTCTTTGCTCGGTTCCCCTGGAAGAGCCGACTTTCGGCGAAACGCGCGTCGGGACTAGTTAGTGTGAAGGGTGGAGGAGAGAGACAGGGACGATGCTGCAGCTGTGACTATTATTTAGCTCCGAACCATCCACCCCTTCACATACATTTTTCTTTATACTTTACAAGTGATTTAGATTTTTACTAGTAATCTAGAGTTAGATAGGAGACGAGTACAACAGAGTTGGGGGGCTCGTGATTATTACAGTGGGATTGGATGATAATAGTGGAAAGCAAAGTAGGCTATCAAGTTCAGTTCACACATTAACCCTTTCCGTCCCTGATGTATCTGTGCCACGAATAGACATTGTGACACTTCTGTATTAAATTGTACATTTATACTAAACCTCCTTTCTCCTTCTCCTAGTTAATACTAACTTTAGATACCATTTATATATTCTTTACATTGTGGCTATTGTGCCTCTTTTATAATATATTATTAAAAGTTATGTTTTATCTGGATAAGGTTGCTTTATAGTAATACTAGATACCCATAGGTGTACTTTTTAGATTCTTTGTACCCCCTGGGTTTTTTGGTATTTTTCTCTTTTTTTTTTTTTTGCCTTAATTTGACGCCTCGTCAGGGATTTTTTCCTCGGATTTATCGCCCCCGTGTGCAGGAGCCGCTGAGGTGAGCGTCCTCTCGGCTCGCGGTTAGGCCACGCCCCCGATTTTCATGTGATTTTTTTTTTATGACTAATAACATACCTTTTGGTACACCCTGGACCAGTCTCTCTTGTTTTAACATCTTAATTTATAAGAATAGATTTGAGTTGATGATAAAGCAAACATGGGGCTGGAATCTTAGTCTGTCTTCAGATTTTAATACATGACAGTTGGCTTCAGATTTTGCATCTCTCTCTTTACTGCTCTACTGAATAGCAGCATAAGCAAACTAATCAGCCTATCAGAGATGAAACAGAGAAAGGCAGACACCTCACAGTCACTTATTTTGTTCATTTATCTTGTGTAACCTTTAGTTTGTTTTATCTTACTTGTATCTCCTGTTTGCTGCATTCCCTGGTTGCCCAAGGTGCTTTTTGTCTTGCAGTTCTTTTCTTTCTTTCTTTAATTTTTTTTTTTTTTTTTTGGCGTTTTAGAGGAGACTGCGATCTTGCTTTATGCAGGAATGCGCTTGCAATTTTGTTGGAGTCTGTACTGGATTCAGTGCCGGACAAGAATTTGGGATGTTGAGAGACTTGACTGCCATTTTATTCCCCCCATTGATTCTGGCATTATTTTTCCTTTGATTTTTGCCTTACAATCTGATGTGAATGTGCTGCTCTGCTCTACTGTTAGGCTCTCTTCTGTCCGCAAGTAAGTCCTTTTTAGTAGGTGAGCCCCACCTAGATCTATCTGCCTGTTCATAGGATCTGTTTTATCCAGAGCTGCGGGGCAGCCACACATTCTGTGGCCCTGCTTCTATTGAACCTGCCACCCTATTAGTTGCCTGGTTTGTGGTTGATCACCATCTGCTTTTCCCTATGCTGCCTCTCTGTTCACTCAGTTATATGTTTGACTGAATATATAATGATGTCTTCCTAGTCCCAGTTTGTTGAATTTCAGGTTATGATGAATGAGACCTTGCTGCCTTCTAAATGCTGCTTGCTGGAAGAGATGTGTATCTACAATGGGCAAAGTCATGAGGTCGTAGACTGACCATACTCCTGAGCCACTGGATGATTTATGCTACTCCGCTGCTGAAGATGATTCTTTCTCCTTGCATAAGCAAATCTGTTCTAGGGAGATGAGGACCACTCTTCTGGCTCGAGCTTAGATTTGCAAAGCATCCGGGCATGGGCCCAGCGCTATATTTGCTTATTGTGAAACACTGTGACCCTCCTCCTCTGAGTGCCGCAAGGCAGAATTGTTGTGGTTGGATTCAAAACTAGGAAATCTCAGGAACACAGAACTGGGCCCTGAAACACAAGGCCTGCTGTTTGTTCGAAAGATGGAAAAAAAAATTATTCTCTTTTCACTTCTCTCGATAAGGCCCAGTATTCTATCAAGAAAGTCTTTGAGTACTAGCCAAAGAGGTGCTTTTTCCAGGGCTGGCTAGCAGCAAGCCAGTTTTGCAAAACTTTCATGGCCCCCATTACTCAGGGATCTACGGATGCCTCTTACCAAGCCAGCTTAGGTTTCCAGATACAAAGTAGGTTGTAGAATGAAACTAATTGGGTTGTGGTCGCCCTTTATTTCTGGCAGGTAAGAGCTTCTCTTCCTATTGCAGGGCGGCTGTTACTCCAGATGTATGAGTACCTTGTCAGGGTTGGCTAGCGGATCCTTAAATGAGAGACCGCAACCTAGTAAAGGCAAAGAGAGAGGGATAGGAACAGGCTTATTACAGGACCTTGAAGTGGCCAAGACTTTACGTAAAGCAGGATCTATTCTAGGAAGTAACCGGACTAAACTAAGAAACACTACAGACCAAGAGAGGAACAAAAAATAAAACACATACCAGACACTGGTCAGGAGCAAAAGAAAAGCAATGTCAGAGACTGGTCCACAGGATGGGAAGTCATGCCAGGAACCGGTATAAGATATCAGACAGAAGGCAAACATACGTACTGGCATTCACGTTTCATAGCTGGTGATAATCATCGAAGTCTGATTGACAATAGGATTCAGACCCTTCATGGAAAAGCTGCCAAAGAATTGGCTTCCTAAGCAACATATTCCTCATCAGAAAGAAGATGGAAGATTTCTTACCAATCATACATCTTTCAGATGTGAATTCTTTTGTCACTTATCAATGCATCAGTGCTGTCGGTAGGATCTACATTCAGAATGGAGAGGTCAGGTTTGAATGTTCACTTGAATGTTCTTCACCCCAATGCTTCACCAAGTTTTTGAAAACGTTCAGGAGCATTTTCTAGGTCGAAGAATATAATCTATCTCTATTATATTGTTAGAATTTTCTCCTCGCTGATTGTTTGGAGAATTTGGGATTCATTATCAATCATGAGAAGTCAGCCCTAATTCCAATTCAGTCCATCCACAGTTGGTGGTTATTGCAGATGCAAGCATGGAATGGGTTTGTAAAACTTTATCTTCTGAATAACCCATGCCCTGTTTTGATTCCTAACGTCTGTATGCATTTTCTTTGTGTTTTCCTGCTTTTTAAAAAAAAATTATTTGACTTCAGTGATCTACATCCCAAAGCAGTTTTCCCAGAATTATGTATTTCTGAAACACTGATAAGTTGTGATCAGAGTTCTAGAAATTAGTAGGGATGTGCATGGTCAAAAATGTTTCGGTTTGGAAATTCGGGTAAGTAAAAAAATTTGGCGGTTCGGCACTTCTGAAATTCGTGACTTCGGCAATTCGGAAAATCTGTAGGGCTCCCTAACCCTACCCCTAACCACCACAACCACTTACACATCTAAAGGGCTCCCATTACTCGGACTGCGACCACAACCACATCTTTAGGCCTCCCAGTGCCAGGATTGCCACCAAAACCACTTACACATCTATTGGGCTCACAGTGCCAGGAATTAGCTTATTGGTCAAGATTCCGGTCATCATTAATTTAATTTTCCCTCCCTCTCTTGTTTTGCCACTTTTCAGAAATCCGAAGCAGTGCTGCACTTCCGAAATTCGGCACTTCGGTTCGGTACTTCCGAAATTAGGCAATTCAGAAGCATCAAAATGTACGAATTGCCCGAAATTCGGCTGAATTTACATTCAGAACGAAACGAATTGCACATGTCTAGAAATTTGACTTGTAGAGCTTTTTCTTACATCATTCTGCCTTTTCATCTGTTCACAGGTATAACGAAAACAGAACGTCAAGAGAGCAGGAGTTATACTCTGTATGGAGTGCTAAAGCCTGCCCAACCAGTTAAAAGGAGGTTCTAGATTTGTAATAAGAGCATGGGCGTAGGAACCGGGGGAAATCATGCGGGGGGCACAGGTTATGGGGAAATCCCCCCCAGCTCCGCCGACCCCCCCATGCTGCAGCCGCCCGAGTGCTCTGTAGAGAGCCTCAGGCGGCTGCAGCTTTGCCCGGGCAGTGCGACCATGAGGGCGGACTGCACCGCCCGGGCGCAGCCTGAGGAGAGGGGCTGACAGGAGGGAAGCGCTCAGCGCTCCCTCCTGTCACTCCCTCTCTGTAGCGTGTCCGAGCCCAGTATAGTCCGCGGGTACAGGGAGCATCTGTCTCCTGGACCCGGCCGGACTAACAGGAAGCACTGACGAGGGAGGGGGGGGGGAGGAGAGAGTGACGAGGGAGGGGGAGGAGAGAGTGACGAGGGAGGGGAGGGAGAGAGTGGGAGGAGAGAGTGGGAGGGGGGAGGAGAGAGTGACGTTTGTGATGATTCTTTTTTCCTCTCTATATTCAAGGGACACTATAGTCACCAGAACCACAACAGCTAAACATAGTAGTTCTGTTGTCTATAGCATGTCTTTGCAGGCTTTTTAACCCCTTAAGGACGGAGCCAAATGTACACGTTGTGAACGAAACAAAATGTAAACAAAACCTGGCATTTGCGCTACATGTCTGTCCAACCGTAATTCACCTCTTTCATATTAAATGCACCCACCCTTATTATATATCATTTTATTCAGGGAAACAGGGCTTTCATTTAATATCAAATATTTAGCTATGAAACATAATTTAATATGAAAAAAATGGGAGAAAATAAGATTTTTTAAAAATTTTTTTAGTTCTACATGACATTTTAACGGTCAATGTCATAATACTGTTTGCTTTTACTGCAATAAAATACACATATTTGTATTCAGCAAAGTCTCACGTGTAAAACAGTACCCCCTATGTACAGGTTTTATGGCGTTTTGGGAAGTAACAGGGTCAAATATAGCACGTTACATTTGAAATTGAAATTCGCCAGATTGGTTATGTTGCCTTTGAGACTGTATAGTAGCCCGGGAATGAAATTTACACCCATAATGGCATACCATTTGCAATAGTAGACAACCCAAGGTATTGCAAATGGGGTATGTCCAGTCTTTTTTAGTAGCCATTTGGTCACAAACACTGGTTTTTTTTAACTAATATTTTATTTTTTTTACAGGAGAGGGGGCAGAAACAGTGTCAGCCAGTGATTTCACATCACTGGCTGACACGCAGGATCAGTGATCACAGTGACTGCCTGTCACTGTGATCACCTCCTGCAGATTGGGTAATTGGCCACAGGGGGGAGTGCCTGGGTGGTACAAGCACTCCCCCCTTCCAATCTGCAGGGGGATCTGTGTGCCAGTTACATGTGTCAGCCAATAGGCTGACACATGTAACACTGATCGCAGTGACAGGCTGTCACTGCGATCAGAGCGCTCTGAGATCGCAGTGACAGCCTGTCACTGCGATCTCAGAGTTAGCAGATCGCGGTCACTGACCCCAGGGGGACTGCCTGGGGGGCCAGGTAAGTCCCCCGACCGCGATCTGCACAGGGTAGCCGCTGGCCACGTGTGTCAGCCGATTTGAAATCGGCTGACACACGTTAAAAAACTGATCGCAGTGACAGCCTGTCACTGCGATCAGTGACTGCAGATCGCGGTCACCGGCCACAGGGGGGGTTGCCTGGGGGGCCGGGCATCCCCCCCGACCGCGATCTGCAGCGGGCGACTAGCGCCGGCCACATGGGCGGCCATTAAAGTGAGGGCGTACTATTACGCCCGCCGGCGTTTAGAGCCGGCTCCTGCAGGGCGTAATAGTACGCCCTCCGTCCTTAAGGGGTTAATGTAAGCACAGCCATTTCGTAAAAAGGCAGTATTTACATTACTGATGAGGAATACCTCCAGTGGACACTCAGATGGCCACTAGAGGTGCTTCCTAGTCAAAACATGAATGCCGCCCTATGAAGTAACTGCGCATGTGCACCAGAGAGCAATGACGCTTCTGAATAGAAGCGTTTTATTGCTCCCTGCTCGCACTCTCCTATTTCGTTATTTTGACGAAATAGGGGACGCAGCATCAGGAGGATCCCGGCACTGTATCCAGGTAAGTAAAATCCCTTCCCTGTAGTGACCCTTTAAAGTTATTATTTAATCATTTATATAGTAACTGCAAATTCCGTAGCGCTGTGCAATGGGATAAACTCATAGTTTACAGAATAAGAATATACCCGGCGAGTAAAAATGCTATCCCCCCAGATATTTTTGGGTTCCTACGCCCATGAATAAGAGTGTAGGATGCCTATATAAATCATTTACTTGTAAAGAGTCCTTGAACAGAAGATGTTTAATATAGTAAGTATATTAAGTCGTTCCTCTTTCTCCTGCAATATATGGATTTTCTTCAAAAAAAAAATCAATGAAGAAAACATTGAACTTAAGCCACAAATTATACAAACTTTCAGTACAGACTGCAGTACCAATGTGCCCGTTAAAAACAAAAGACAGTAGTGGATTTTGGGATCCAATCAGACATTCCTATCAATATAATCATAACATACATGATAGCTAATATAAATCCCAGAGAAAGACCAATTGTTAAGCCACAAGGAGAACTAGATGACACTGTGTTGCACAAATTATAGAATCGTTAATGTCATCTGTGAATTCACAATCATGGTGTCACGATTGGCACTGTGCCATTCAGACAACCAGGCGTGGCTCTAAGGGTATTTAAGCTGTGTAATAATCCTTCTGTCTTGCCTCTAAACCACACTTCAGCTCATGTTTCAGCATTGCCTTGCCTCCAGCACTAGGGGGCTGGACTTTACCTGTGACTGCTCCTGTCACTATAAGATCCCCTGACGCAAATAGGTAATTGGTCAGGTATAAAATACTGCCTCTCTCTGAAGGCAGTGTCAGTTCATTGACTCTGGTTCACCTGTTTGGTTCCTGTTATTGCTATCCTGATCCTGTGTTCTCCAGATTGATTCCGGCTTCCGAACTTGGCTTATTTCTTTGTTTACTCTGGCTTCCTCTGACTTGGGTTTTCTTAGACTACCTTTCTGCTTGTCCTTGCCTGTATTGCGACTTGGAGCACTATTCCTGCACAGACTCACAGCCCAGGTGGCTTCTTACATGGTCACCTTGGTCTGTGTTTATTTGCAGGGGTGAGCGTATAACTCTGTATGTCGGACTCCACACCAGGTAAGATCCTGACACATGGTAAGAGTTCTAGTGTACAAAAGGAAAAACAGCTGACGTGGTAGAGGACATGCCAGGTAGGGTTACACTGAGGCCTATTTTAGCATCCACTGGTGCAAAGTATTGACTAGTGGCAACTAATAGTTATGAGGAAAAAAAACTAATTAGCTACTGAAGCCCATCTCAAAGAGTAAATTGTTTTTTTTTTTTTTTTTTTTTAGCCTGCCACTCACTCTCTGAACCCAGTCATAAAGAGTAGCCTTTTGGGGGCGTGGCTAACTGCCGAACCGAGCGGTCACATGGAGTGAGAGCTCCGTGCTTTGGATGACTTCCAAGCTCACTACTCGCATCACACACAGCCCTCCAGCGACTGCCAAGCCTGGGATCTTAACCCCTAAGATGGCCCCAGCTAAACAAACAAAATTAACGGACCAAATCCGGCCCGCGAGAAAGGACCGTGTGCGGCCTACACAAGATGGCGACGACGAGCAGGCCTGCTCACAACCTGCTGAGAGCTCACCAAATCCCGAAGGGGACTCCAGCCCACACACAGACGCCCCGGTAACGGAGAAACGGCTGTTTCTTATGCTGCAGGACTTTCGAGTCACACTGCAATCTGACCTCAAGAGGGCGACCAGTGAGATCAAGAGGGAGATCTCTGACCTGGGAGAACGTACTAACCAGCTAGAAGCACGCACAGACGACATGTGCACTGAACAGAATACGTTGGCGAACACAGTACAGCACTTAATGGAGGAACAAGCCCAGCTCAAACGTAAGCTAGCTGATTTAGAAGACCGGTCCCGCAGGAACAATGTTAGGTTCCGCGGAATACCGGAACGTGTGGGCACAGAAGAACTCCCAGCATATCTCAAAAGACTTTGCACAACTCTGCAACCCGATATAGCAGAAGGAGCATGGCTCCTGGATAGAGCCCATCGGCTCCCACGTCCACCGAGGTTGGCACAGGATACACCTTGCGACGTAGTTGCCAGATTTCACTATTTCACCTCTAAGAACGCCCTACTAACAGCGTCCCGCAAACTTGACAAGCTACCTGAACCATACACTACCCTCAGTATATATGCGGACCTGTCGGCCTCAACAATGGCCAGAAGAAGGGAATTCATTACGGTGACGAAGACGCTGCGAAACAACAACATTCCGTATAGATGGGGATACCCGACGAAAGTACTCGTATGGAAGAATGGCAAAAACCACGTGGTAAATGAACCGGAGGTGGGCATGCGCCTCATAAGTGAATGGGGACTGTTTACAGCACAAGCGACGGTAGCGCCCGCTACTGCAACGCCGCCACGACAGCTGGGAGAATGGCGGATGGCGGGATCGCCGACCAAAGCATAAAGGACTGTACTCCTAGGACTCTCCCCCTTGCCGGAAAGCTGAGTGGGGGACATGGTGTCACCCAACCCACGTAACTATATGATATGCGATCCAATACCCACACATGGGGAAAATGTATATAATCCAATTGATATTTGGGCCGCGTGTTGTAACTGTCTAGACATAACGATGGCGTGGGGAGGGATCCTGGGAGTGTTGTTCCACTGCTTAATGCTGAAATGTTATATTGATATGCTACTGTACTGTACATGTGAAAATAGTGAGGAGTGCCATGAGAGGGCTGTGTCACCACCATTAGCATGTAAGTCATCCACACCCCGTACCCACGGATGAGCGTCGGCATCAGCACGAGGTGCTGGCCTACGTCTCACCCGGACAAGGCGCCGATCGAAATGAGGGCGCTGTGTAAATACTTTAGTTCTGTTAAGAAATGGTTGTTTATGTTCTCCCCAATTTTACCCCTTATTTTTCCTACCATGTCCCCCCCGAGCCGAGCTATGCCACCATCCAGCCAAGCACCCTTCTCAACTCTTAGCATGCCACTACCCATACCAAATGGATAACACACTAAAAATTCTCTCCATGAACGTTAAGGGTCTCAACAGCCCTCACAAACGCAGGCTGGCAGCCCAAGAAATGACCAAAACCAAGGCGGCGATAGTATGTCTACAAGAGACTCACTTTTGTAAGCGCAAACCACCAAGCTTTAGGGTCAAACAATTCCCTCAGGCCTACCATGCCATGGCTACCACAAAATCCAAAGGGGTTTCACTTTACTTTCACAGGGACTGGGTTTTTACGCTCACCAAACAATACATTAGTAAAGACGGCAGGCTACTCATACTGGTGGGCTCCCTCAATGGTCTCCAGATGACGATTGCCTCTCTGTACGCCCCAAACGAGACACAGAAGGAGTTTCTAACTAAGGCATTTCGTAAACTAGACCAATACCAGTCAGGGCATACTATTATCTGTGGAGACTTCAACTGCACCCCTGACCCATACGTTGACACACAGAGGGCCCAAAACAGGCCCCCAAAACAACCATCATTGTCTATGGGCCGACACTTAGCGAATCTAAGGCCCATAGACAATGGCCTCTCGAACTATTACTATATCAAATTTATGGACCAATTAGCCCCTCACCTCTTACGACTGTTCAACAATATCAAACAATCTGGTGACATGCCCCGAGAAATGCTAGAAGCTTTTATTGTAACTTTGCTAAAACCTAACAAACCCCCCACACACTGCGCCAACCTGAGACCAATCTCACTCCTTAACTCGGACACTAAATTATATGCCAAAATGTTGGCTACGAGGGTCAAGGCACTTTTTCCCACGCTCATCTCTGCTGAACAAGCAGGGTTTGTGCCAGGCAGACAGGTGGAGGATAACACCCGCCACTTCCTAAATCTTATTGACTGGGCAAATCACTCCTCTCAGCAAGGCCTGGTGCTGGCGTTGGACGCAGAAAAGGCGTTCGACCGCTTGCACTGGGGTTATATGACACGTACTTTGACTAAAATGGGCCTTCCACAGAACTTTATCAATAGCATCCTGGCCCTATACCAATGCCCGTCGGCAAGGGTTTTTAGCACCGGCTTTCTGTCAGCGCCCTTCACCATACGTAATGGCACACGCCAGGCCTGCCCACTATCGACACTCATCTTCATCTTATGCCTCGAACCCTTAACACGAATCATAAAAGATAGCACAATGATCCAAGGCCTGTCAACCCCGGGCGGCATACAGAAGTTGGCTTTATTTGCCGACGACATACTCATGTTCATAACACCCCGACAGCTCCGTTCCCGCTCTGCTAGATCTTCTCAAAGAGTACGGAGAAGTGTCATTCTATAAGAACAACACCGCTAAGACACAAGCGTTACCGATAAATCTGCCACACCAAACACTAGCGCACCTAACACTCAAGTACACCTTCGACTGGCGCACATCGTCCCTCACATATCTAGGGATCAAACTGACAAAAACCCACCAAGCCATACCAAAAGAAAACCACCTCCCCGTAATACACAAATTGAGAGCGACTCTGGAGAAATGGGAGAACCTAGAGATCTCCTGGTTGGGTCGAGTAAATACAATTAAAATGATGGCTCTACCCCATATCTTGTATCTCTTCCGCACGATCCCAATAGCACTCCCTAACAAACTGATCAAATTAATGCAATCGGTTATCAATGCACACGTCTGGAAACGGAAGCCCCCGAGAGTAGCCCAGCGCAACCTTGGCTTCCCCTTCACCAAAGGAGGCCTGGGTCTGCCGGATATCAAAACTTACTACAGAGCCACGTCTTTAGCACAGAGTGTACACATTCTGAGACTTAAGGACAGCTCCCAAAAGCCTCTGTGGCTACCACTGGAAGATACCTACCTACACCCACACAATACGTCCCGCATACTATGGACCAATGCCCCCGCTAAACCTGATGGGGCTTATTTATCACAATGCTCCCGCTTCCTGGTGAGCTCGTGGCGGGCGTGGAGCCACCTGATCGTGGACCCGCACCTGCTCTTCAGAGAAGTGCCGCTAGAGGCCATGTCTATCTTTTCCCCTGACCTACCCACAGCGAGCTGGAAAGCCAAGGGCATACATAGAGTAAAGGACCTATTAGAGGGAGACAAAATCCAAACATTCCCTGATCTCCAGCGAAAATTCTTCCTCCCCCAAAGGGACATGTTCCTCTATCTTAGAACAAAAAACATTTTACTGCCCCAAGCGAGCAGAACAAATGATATGCCCAAAGACCTACCTCTACTACCCGCTCAGATTCTCTCTACTAAACTAGGGAAACCCCTGTCCATGTGCTACAATGCCCTCCTGGAAGGTCAACTAGGTGAAGCAAGATCATATATGACACAATGGGAAGGTGAGCTAGACAAACAACTAACATTGGCGCAATGGTATGAGGCGATGACAATCACAAACGGTGCTTCCAAGAGCATCTCGCTATGGGAGGCATACTGCAAAATAGCCATGAGATGGTAGTTAGTACCGCACAAATTAGCGCGCATTTACAGGGGTTCCTCCGGGCTATGCTGGCGCTGTGAGGGGGATGAGGGTACCATGCTGCACATGTTTTGGACATGTCAGGCATTAGGTTCATTCTGGAAAAAGATACAAAGCCTTATCGAGAACACTACCGGCCTTCTAATCCAGCTGAGACCAGAACACTATCTGCTACATATGATACCCGGGCTCTCATTGCACCCCCACAAAACAGTACTAATAAACATACTCACAGTAGCAAAAATTCTCTTGGCCCAAAACTGGAAGAGCAAAGCGGTACCCACTATAGTGGCTCTCACAGAGAGACTGGACGTCATAAGCTCTTATGAACGTATGGCCAGCAGAGTCCAGGGCAAGGGGACTAGATATGACAGAGAGTGGGCAAGCTGGAACTCTAAGCCTTAAGCCCAGTACCTAGTACAATACCCCGTGCATCAGGTCATACCAACCACAAACCGGACCGCCCAACTGTTAATATAGTACCCAAAGACAGGCTAAGAATGGTTAGAGACTGCTAAATAGTAGGTGTGAGCACTGGGTAGCAAGGCTGGGGACTCTGTCTCCACTCCAAGTTATCCCTTCCCCCCCCCCCTTCTGTTCCTGTTCCCCCCAAATACTGCCAATGCATTACCGACTGTACACAACCCGAACCTCGGTAGGAGGCCGAACCAGTTCAGGAGCAAATAACTACTCTATATCTGCTTGGAATGTGTGTATAATAACAGTTTCATGATGTATAAAAAGTAACAAATGTAAGACCGCAAGGTCCGCACTGCGTTGTCATGAAAACCTAGTGTACACAAAACTGAATGTAATGTATGCCTGTTCATGTTGTTGGCAAAATAAAGACTATATATGAAAAAGAAAAAAAAAAGAGTAGCCTTTTGCATTGCTCTGATTTAGGGCTGTTAGTGGGGAAACCACTCCTTGTTGGTTACAGAATACCATAGATCCTCATTCCAGTAGAACCTCTACATTTGTTCATTTTTAAAGGCATATTCCAAGCACCATAACCACTACAACTTGCCCCCACTACCAGTGTAAGAAGTCAAACTAATTTTAAAATGGTTTGACTTATTACCTGGATGCTATAGAGAGATGGAAACATCTAAGCAGGCTCAGCTCTCCGGAGCTTAAACCCTGGAGTGAGATCAGCTGATCGCTACTTGCCAATGAGTTTACTCTTTCACTGCTGGGCTTGGCTCAGACAGAGAGCTCCATGCTCTTCATCAGACGTAGTGAAAATAGGGGGAAGTGCTTGACAGACTCCAGGTAAGAACTAAATATATTCTAAAATGTTTGTTTTTACATGGGGGTAAGGGGCAGCACCCCTACCACTGTATTTACTACAATGCACTGTAGTGGTTATGATGCTTGGAATGTTAGTTTAGTAACCCCTTGCAAGCCCCACTCACCCCCCTTTACTGACACATAAAAGTAACCATTTAGGTTTCAAGTTATGGGCATCTGCTCAAGTTTTGTATGTTTTTCTTGGAGTACTTGTGGGTCAACCTACCAATAGTGATGTCGCGAACCGTTCATGGCGAACTCCGGTCAGCTGACACATCCCTGCCAATCTCCGGCAGACCCTCCCTCCCAGATCCTCCTACTTCCTGGACAGCATCCATGTTGAAGGCAGCTTCAACATGGATGCTGTCCAGGAGGTGGGAGGGTCTGGGAGGGAGGGTCTGCCGGAGATTGGCAGGGATGTGTCAGCTGACCGGAGTTCGCGGCGAACCGTTCGCGGCAAGTTCGCGACATCACTACCTACCAACCTGTCTTAGTAAATTATTTTTGACACTTTTATATTCATGTGATGCCTGTCATTCTAGAGTCAGACATTGCGCATGCACACACTAGTGCAATACAAACACATTCTACATCACCAATTGACTCCAAACTCACTCTACCTGTTTCATCTTGGGAATGGGGAGTTTCTTGTGATGTGTACACTCAGCCTATAAAGCCCCATAATACTCCTCCTTTTCAAATAATTTTTATTAAGGTTTTAACATTTTTGTATAACAAGTAGTAATAATACAAACATTGTATTAGGGGTAGGAAAGGAAGGGGAACTTGGAAATGGGAAGGGGTATCCATCCATTATTGAAACAGGCATAACAATGTATATGACAAATTTTGTACATCAATGCACTTTAACAATAAATATATCAAAGACCATAAGCTTTTGATTTTTTTTTTTCCCTTTATATTTTAATATTGGGGAAACCATGCATATTAGCTCTATGCGATAATTTGTGTGCCTTGTTTTCTAGAATCAAATTGAAAACTTCTTTGAGAGATGGCACATTTTGGGACTTCCAATGTCTAGGTAAACAGGATGTAGCAGCGATCAGAATGTGGCCTATGATTATTTTATCTGGTCTATTAATGGACTTGAGTTTTTTTGGTTTTTTTTTTAAATAAGGCTAGTTCTGAAGTTAAAATGCTAATGGTTCTGTCCACTTTAATAATTAGATCATGAATCATTTTCCAATATTTAGTTAATTTAGGGCAGAACCACCAGATATGGGCCATATTGCCCACACCCCCACAGTCTCTCCAACACCGGTCAGAATACATATTGATCATGTTGTGCAATCTAGATGGAACCAGGTACCAGCGATATAAAATTTTATAATTATTTTCAAAATGGTCGGTGCAATACGATATACCTTTTTAAAGCTTTAAAAAAAAACGAACCATTCTTCTAGGTCGTACTGGGCACCCAACTCCGTCTCCCATGACAACATATGTTTTAATTTAACAAAGTGTTTGGCATTAGAAAACGAATAACATAAGGATATCATATCTTTACTAGCGGGGCTGTATAAAAAAAAAAAAAAAAACTCTCTAATGGAGATATCTCAAGTGATTTATAGTTTTTATCTGTTTCAGATACCTGGTATAATTCTTTCAATTTGTCAATGATTAGCATACATTCCAGTTCACATACATTTGTTAATCCATACTTAAGCTTCAATTTTTCGAAAGAAAGAATAGCATTGCCATAAAAAAAAAAAATATTCAGATTAGTAATAGAGCAATCCTTCAACAATTCTATTTTTAAGGATGGTATATAACCTTTGAATAACTCAGTAGGCATTGCTCTATATAAACTGGGAGAATGGTCATTTTTAAAAATAATGTCCCAGGCCTTGAGCGTAGTCTTGGTAGATAAAAATAATTTTGTAATTCCAGGTCTTTTCTTAGGGTTTACCCAAGGTAATTCTGACAATCTAACCGGTAAAATTGTCGATTCTTCTATTTCCATCCATCTGGGTTTATTAACCTGGTTATTAAATCTCACAGCCACTGCAGCATTAGTGGCGAAATAATATTTGTGGATATCGTGGACACCGATACCGCCATTCGATTTATGGTGCTGCAGGGAAGTGAGCCTTACTCAGGCAGGTTTGTTCCCCCAGACGAACTTCAGCATTGTCAAGTGAACTTTATTAAAAAATGATAATGGGATGGACAGAGGAATGGTCCTAAAAAATATATAAAATTTTTGGAAGTATTGCCATTTTAATAGATGCTACCCACCCCAGCCATGAGAGCTCCATCTCTCCATCTCCTTTTGTAAGTCCGACCATGCTTTCCTCAAATTGTGATTGTGCATATTGACCAAATTTTTGCATAAATTTTTTTCAATTTGACAATTTTTATTTTCCTTTTTTCTTCAATGCAAACTTGGGATACAGAATAAAGAGAGGGAGGGGGGAGGAACATCACATATCATATTCTCGAGTTACATGCCATCCAACTTTACATGATACATTTTGCACTGTTCCACTAGGGCATAATTATCCATTGTCTGCATTCTCCTCACTCACTAGCCCTTATTCTAGGACCTGCACCTGTCTTCCTCTGCTAGACTGCTTAGCCTTGGCCACTCCTTAGTGTCACCCCTGTACTAGATGGATGCATACTCTCGTTTCGGATTACTGTTCCTAAATGGGGAAGAAACCAGCTGGAAGAGGGGATGGGGTAGGGGGGTGGGGGGAGGGATTCGTCCTCTGTTTGTGATTTAAACTCTCGATTCACCCATTTGTCCAGTGATTCCCATCTATCTCCTTTCTTCCCCAAGGGGTCCCTTCCTCTGGATTTCCCTTAGTCGCATGGGGTCTCTTACTGTTGACCTTGTACGGGTGTGTTGGCATAGTAGAGGGATTTTATATAGTCGGGATATTCTCTTACCCCTTGTGACACTAGGGTCAGACTCTATTCCTGATCTCCCCGGACATGTTTACTTCTTCCCACCTATTTTTCGCTTCCTTAAACCTGTGTGCGTTGCCTAGATTTTTCCTGGACACTAGTTCATATTGTAGGTTGATGGTAATCTGCCTTTTCAGGGCTTGTTTCGTCGGTGCGGAGTCTGTCTTCCATTCTCTGGCTATTAGCGTTAGTGCCGCTATTATGGTGTGGAAAACTAAAATTGCCTCGCTTCCCCGGAATCTGGACATATTCATGAACAATAGGCCTGTTTCTGGGGTGAGTGTAGTACTAATATCTATTGTCTCATTTAGCATGTTTTCTACCATCCCCCAATAGGGTTGTAGTACCTCACAAGACCACCATATGTGGTACATCGTACCTTCTGAAACCCCACATCTCCAGCACTTGGCTGATGTTCCTGGGTAGATTTTAGCCAGTCACACCGGCACCATGTACCACCTGTAGTGTATCTTTCGCATTAACTCTAGGTGTGATGCGCATGATGTCTTTCCTTTATGTGCTGTGGTCGCGTTTCTCCATTGAGTTGCATCAAAATGTTTCCCCAGGTCTTCCTGCCAGGCTTCACTGAATCTGTCTAAATGTACTGGGTCGCCTAGGTTTAGTAGTGAGTAGCACTTGGAAATCGTTCCCCTCTTTAGCTTTGTGTTTAGGCAGATTCTTTCAAACTCCGTGAGCGAGTTTTTCCCCTCTCCTGTGGTTGTTTGTGCCCCCAGCATAGATTTCAACTGAAGGTAAGGGAATATCAATTTGGAGGAGAGGTTGAATTTTTCCTGTATGTCTGGGAACGGTAGCACCTTTTGTGCCTCTAGGAGGTCCCTCACATGTGTGCATCCTCTCTTAGTCCATTCCCTATAGTCAAATGTGTTGTTCGCTACATGGAGGCAGGTCAATGGTGTTGCTGGTGACCACGGTGTCATAGAGGTCAACGTCTGATGTGTTTTGTCCCAAGTCGTCAGTAATATCTTTGTGGTGGGTAAGATATGAGGTTGGTTGGGGCGCATTAGTTTAGGTACCCACAACAATCTGCGGAGGTCTGTCCCTTGAAGCCAGTGGTCTTCGATTTCCAGCCATTGTGGAATAGGGGCTGGTAGTTGTATCCCTAACACTGGGGCTAGTAATGTTGCCTGATAATAAAGTTTAATGTTTGGTAGGGCTAGACCCCCTTGGTGGGTCGGTCTATGTAGGTATTTGGCTGCTATCCTCACTCGTTTGTGTGCCCATACGAACTTCGTGAGCATTGACTGTGTTTTGTTTAAGTAGGAGGCTGGAAGAGCTATTTGCAGCGTTCTAAATAGGTACTGTAGTTTAGGGAGGATAGACATTTTAAAAGCTGCCATCCTCCCCACCCAGGAGAGGTATTTGTCTTTCCATGAGACCAAACTAGCTTCCATCTCTTTTTGTAGGGCTTCGTAATTGGCCTTGAACAGTCCCCCTATTGTCTTTGTTAACTTAATTCCCAGGAAGGAAACGCTTTCCGTCCTCCAGTCCATCACAAACTTCCCCTGCAACTCCTGTAGTGTGCTCTCAGGTATCCCAATTCCCATGGCCTGTGTTTTTGACAAGTTCAGTTTGTAGTACGAACTGTCCCCATATTCCTTTATCGCCGTCAGTAGGTGTGGCATTGAAATCAGCGGCTGTGTTAAGGTCAGGAGCACGTCGTCCACAAACATATTGGCTTTGTATTCCTTGTCCCCTATGCGTACTCCATGTATGGAACTCTGGTTCCTAATCTTTGATGCTAATGGCTCTAAAGCCAGAACATACAGCAGAGGGGACAGGGGGCATCCCTGCCTCGTACCATTCGAGATGCTAAACGGGTTGGATAGGAAGCCCGAGTTGAGCACCTGTGCCCTCGGGGCGCTATATAACGCTTTGACTGCCGCCCTGAATTCTCCTGGCACTCCGAATTTTGTCATGACCGCCTCTAGAAATGTCCAGTGCAGGCGGTCGAATGCCTTTTCGGCGTCTAGGGAGATGATAACCCCTCCCCCTTTGTATAGTCTGGGTAAGCTATGTAGTATGTTTAATACCTTGCATGTGTTATCTGCTCCCTGTCTCCCTGACACAAACCCTACCTGGTCTGTATGGATTATTTGGGGGAGAAGAGCGCTCAGTCTCATCGCGAATAGCTTGGCAAAGATTTTCGCATCCGTGTTGAGCAGGGAGATGGGCCTAAAATTTTGGGGGATGGTGGGTGACTTCCCTGGTTTTTGTAACGTAATGATATGGGCCAGTAGTGAGTCTTGCGGTAGTTTCTGGTGGCTGTCGCCTCCGTGAAAGCGTGCACTAGGTGAGGTATCAGTGTTTGACTATTTTTTTTATAGTAGGTGTTATCTAGTCCGTCTGGGCCTGGGGCTTTGCCTTTTGGTAGGTTTTTTATGACGGTCTGGATTTCGTCCCCTGTGATGGGTTTAATGAGATCTGTCGCTTGTTGGGTCGTGAGTTTCGGGAGGTCCACCGTATCTAGGTACGCATTTATGTGTTCCGTCGTGGGCTGAAATGTGGTGTCATGTTTGTGTACGTTGTACAGGTCTGCGTAGTAGCTGGCAAATTCGTTGCAGATGTCTGAATAACTTTCTTCTCACCTGTACGGGACATAAGAAAAGCGATTTTTTTTTTTTGGGTTCGCCCTACGTTCTTGCAATCTCCTTGCCCGTAGTCTACTAGCTTTGTTCCCCTGTGTGTAGTGTGTCATTTTCAATCTCTGGAGCCTGTATCCTGTCTGTTCTATCGCCTTTTGGTGTAATTTGTGAGTAATGGTGGAAATTTGTAGTTTAAGCTCCGTAGATGGGGAGATTTGGTTGCGTGTGTTTAGTTGGTACAATTCCCTCTGCCATTCCGCGGTCTGGGCTGAGGATTTTTTATGTAGGTATGCCGCCCTTCTAATAAAGATACCCCTCTTTCATAAATGTCAAGTCGTTCAGCAAGGAGGCATTCAGCCGCCACGGACTTCGGTGCTTATAGTCATATTGGTCCTTCACCGACAGCGTGATCGGCGCATGGTCTGACCAAGTAATCTGCCCTATGTCACAGTCTGTGATTTGGTTGAGTCCTTGTCCCTGTATGAGAAACCCGTCTATCCTTGAGTATGTATTATGTACATGGGAGAAATGGGTATACGCCCGCTCCGAGGTGTGGGATATTCTCCAGGTATCATAGTAATGGTGTAGTGAGAGGAGCTTCTGTAGCTTTTTACACTGTCTGTGGAGTATTTTATACCTTGGACTGTGCCTTGAAATATTTGTGTCTAGTTTTGGGTCCCAGACATGGTTAAAGTCTCCACAAATAATGGACACCCCTTCCCGCATCGATTCTAGTTTCTGTAGTATTTGTCGTAGGAACGTGCCTTGCAGTGTATTGGGTGAGTATAGATTAGTAATTGTATATGTCATGTTAATGGTGCATTTCAAGATTACGTATCTACCATTGGTGTCAGTCTCCGTGGAAAGCATTGTAAATGCCACCCGCTTAGAGATCAGTATAGATGTCCCTTTGGACTTCGTGGGGGACGTTGCGTGGTATTGGTGTGGGTAGTCAGTAACTGTTGGCTGGATAAAATTGTCAGTTCTGTAATGAGTCTCTTGGAGACAGATGACGTCCACATCCGTCTCCCTGAGTTCTCTATATAGTTGGTGTCTCTTAACCGGTAGATTTAACCCTCGTACATTCAGAGAAAAAATTTTCATGGAGGTCTATACCCAACGGATTTGGTAAGGGTTGCAGTATTGTGTAAGAGTGAGTACGGGGGGTTCGCTCGCCCCAGCAGCATCGAGTCGAGCGACCTTCCCCTGGTTGAGGGTTGGGTTCGGGCATATCTCCCTTGCTGAGTGAAAGGTGGTGATGCTATCATGGGTACCCTTGTAGGAATTAGGAGCCGGTGAGCTTGGCCAGTAATGTGGATTCCCTGTAGGTACCGGATAGAGGGTGTGGATCGCCTGGTCCCAGCTAGACCGGGGTGGGACGGGGAACAAAGTGATAACTGGGAAAACATATAAAACAGGTGTATAACAGATTGGTGTGCCATTCTCGGCTTAGGTACTCTCGGTACCTGTGGAGGCTGAAGTGTTAGCTTCCTTCCTGGGGGGGGGGTAGTCTCCGTTGCAACCCACTCTATGGCTCACTAAGTTTTTTTTTTTTTTTTTGGCTTGTAGCCGGGTAATAATGCCCTTTGTAGGGAGCAACTAAGAATTGTGCAGTTTATACCTGTACAAACATATATTGAACTGTGGCAAAACATTAGACATGGCTAATACGATACCCCTGGTTTACTCCATGGTCTATTTATCAGGACCAGTCTCTCAATAGTCACTGTGGAAGAGCTTGCAGGAATGTCATAGTTGCGGTGATGACTTTCATGTCGGTCTCTTGGAGTTTCTCCAGTCTTTGGAGGTTTCGCGGGTCCTCTGTGGGCTGTGTTGTTGGCTTGGTCTGGGGAGTCCCCATCTTTGGAGTAGTAGTGCTCCTTCTTCCGGCGTGTTGATAGCTGACACTTTCCCTCCTCTGGACACCAGTATTTTCACTGGGTAACCCCAGCGGTATGGCAGCTTGTGGAGCCGGAGCTGTTCTGTGACTCCTCTGAATTCTCTCCTACGTTTCAACGTGAATGTCGATATGTCTGCAAATAGTAGCAGCCCGCCATATGGGTCTGGGAGCGTTTTCTTCTGGCGGCTTGCCTGAAGCACTAATTCTTTCACATGGTAGTAGTGCATTTTGATAAGAGTGTCTCTTGGGGTGTCCCGAGGGAGAAAGCTGGGCTTGGCGGTCCGGTGGAACCTGTCCATGAGCAGCATATCATGCGGTACGTCTGGCGCCAGCATTTTTAGCAGGCCCGTCAAGTAGGCCGCCAATTCCGTGGGTCCCACCTCCTCACTCACCCCACGGATGCGCAGGTTATTGCGGCGTGCCCTGTCTTCAATGTCTGCTAGCTTCGTCTCATACCGCTGCATTTGATCTTGTAGCCCTGTCAGCCCCTCCTCCATTCCTCTATGAGCCACGTGTAGCTCTGCCATTTTGGATTCTGTCCCAGCAGTTCTCACCTCCAATTCTCTTAAGTCTTTATGTAGTGCCCCAATTGTGGCTTTAAAGCTGTTTTCTATTCTTGCAGACATCTCATCTAGCATTACCCGCATCATCTCCTGTGTGATAGGAGTGTCCGTTTCAGATTCAGTGTGCTGCTGTATTCCAGCCTCTTCAGCGCCATCTTGGGTCTCTCCCTGCAAGGTCTGTCTCCCCTGTTGTGACCTCGCGGCGAAAAATGTGCTCCGTTCTGCTTTTTCAGCCTGTCTCTTCCCTTTAGCCTGGGACATGATTGCTTGGGGTGTATGGGGCCCCGTTTTTTCGTGGCTAAATAGCCGGATTGCTCCTTTGTGGGTGCCGTCGGAGCGGAGCGCTCAGATCATGCGACCGCTCGGTACCACCGCCAGGACACGCCCCCATTTTTGCATAAATTAATGACAAGATATTCCATATAGTCAGTTCTCCAATCAAATAAATATGATTTCTTAATGGCAGTGGTTTCCAAATTATTTAAATGAAATGGAAGGGCCTGAGTCTTAGACTCGTTTAATTTGTAGTACGATATCTCGCCAAATTGAGTTAAGATGTCCTTGAGGTGTCTCAAAGATTCTTTTTGTTTTTGACAGCTAGGAATATATCATCTGCAAACAGGCCAATTTTGTGAACAGATTCTCTAATATATTCCTACAATTTGTGGGGTCGTTCTAATTAGTTCGGCCAGGGGTTCTATCGCTAAAACAAATAAAATTGGAGATAAAGGGCACCCTTGTCTCGTCCCATTGGTTAGAGAGAAAGTTTTGGATGTGAAGCTGGAAGCTGAGACATGGGCGGAGGGTGCGCAATATAGCACCTTAATTGCGGTGATAAAGGGTGGTGGTATGTTGAACCTGTCTAGCGTTCTCCATCAATATCCCCAATGTAGTCTGTCAAACGCCTTCTCTGCGTCTAGAGATAGAAGCAAAGAAGGCGTTTTGGTCATACTGATGTGCTGAATCAAGTTTAAGAATCTTCTAGTTCCGTCTGGCGCCTGTCTATCCTGTACAAAACCCACTTGATCCTTATTAATTAGCAATGGGATTAATTTGGTTAATCTATTTGCGAGAACTTTAGAAAAATCTTTGAGTTATTATTAATCAGAGAAATGGGCCTAAAATTAGGGCATCTATTAGGAGTTTTTCCCGGTTTTGGCAAGGTGACTATGCGTGTGCACAAGGACTCCTATGGCATCTTTCCCCCGGACTTATAGGAATTAAACATTTTAGTCATATGGGGAATTAAAATTTTTTATACTATAAAATAGTGAATCCATCGGGACCATGGGCTTTTCCAGATGGCATAAGTTTGATCGCCTCAGCTATCTCTTCTGCTGATATTTCACATTCTAAGCTCTCTAAATGTCCTGGAGACAGCTGAGGCAATGTCACTCTGTCTAAGAATTTATCAATTGTTGTTGCAGAAGGCTGGGGAAGGTCCGAATTACAGTCTAAATGATAAAGTTTACTATAATACTCTGCAAACATATCACTAATTTTAGTTGGATGAAACACTTTTCTGCTCCTGATCATCAAGTAAATATGCTATTTTTGATTAGGCATTCACATGCCGGAGTTTGGATGACAAAAGAGTTGAGGCCCTGTTGCCTTTTAAGTAAAATGTTTTCCTGAGATGTCTCACCAGATGTACGTTCTAAATTCATTTTGTTAATTTTAGCCTTAATTTCTCCTATCATTGCTGATAGGGAGGACGATGGACCAAATTTATTAGCCTGGTTCAAATTGTACAATTCTTTCCAATGTTCTTAAATTATTGCTATTAATTCTCTTCAGGTGAGACGCTCTAGAAATAAAATCACCTCTTAAAACAGCCTTATGCGCATTCCAAGTCACCTCACCAGGAACCTCGGGTGAAGCATTTTCCGAAAAATAATCACTCAAAGCTTTCTTTGTCAATGGCCTGTTCACAACACCATTTAACAAATAATCGCCTAATTTCCAGGTTCTGTTTGGGGCTGATGAAACAATTTCGTAAAAATGCATTATGATTGGAGCACGGTCGGACCAGTTGATGTCTAAGATGTCAGATTTCAAGATGTGCGGGATTAAAGGACCACTCTAGGCACCCAGACCACTTCAGCTTAATGAAGTGGTCTGGGTGCCAGGTCCAGCTAGGATTAACCCATTTTTTTATAAACATAGCAGTTTCAGAGAAACTGCTATGTTTATGAATGGGTTAAGCCTTCCCCCTAATCCTCTAGTGGCTGTCTCATTGACAGCCACTAGAGGCGCTTGCGTGCTTCTCACTGTGATTTTCACGGTGAGAGCACGCAAGCGTCCATAGGAAAGCATTGTAAATGCTTTCCTATGCGACGGGCTGCATGCGCGCGCAACCAGCCCAGGAGGAGGATAGAAGGAGGATCGGAGGAGGAGAGCTCCCCGCCCAGCGCTGGAAAAAGGTACGTTTTTACCCCTTTTCCCCTTTCCAGAGCCGGGCGGAAGGGGGACCCTGAGGGTGGGGGCACCCTCAGGGCACTATAGTGCCAGGAAAAAGTGTTTTCCTGGCACTATAGTGGTCCTTTAAGGCACCCTGGACCATAAACCGGTCCAGCCTGGAATACATATTTTTAGAGACAGAATAATACATAAAATCTCTTTCATTCTAATGCATCAGTCTCCAGGAGTAGTATACGCCACATTCAATCATATATCTGGAGCATTTGTACGCTAAGCTGTCACTGTCCCCTCTATGCTGTTGATCGTGTTCTTCCCTAGCGTTATCCAATTCTCCATCCATAACAAAATTTGTGTCGCCACACATTACCAAACTGCCTCTCACACTCTCATTCACTAAGTCCATCAATTTCCTAAAAAAACTGCAACTGACCGGTGCTGGGAAAGTATATGTTCACAATAGTATATTCAATGGTATTGAGTGATCCTATCCATATTAAATACCTCCCATCATCATCTGTTATTACTTTGTTTGTCAAACATGCTACATTCCTGTGAAAGAAAATCTAGACCTCTAGACTTGGATTTTATAAGTGCAATGGTATTGGACTGGGAAAAGCTTTGACATGATCTTATGGTCTTTATTATCTTTAAAATGCGTTTCCTGTACACAGATGACATCTGATTTGTTGGATTTTGCTTCTTTGAATAATAATCGTCTCTTGTGGGCGGTGTTCAGGCCTCTCACATTAAATTACATATTTTAAAACCATGGTTTATGGAACAGCAATACCTGGTAAAGGGTAAAAGAACATTCAACTTTGTGAGAGTCCAAGCAACCGCCTTCCAAGAGAGAAACATGCAAGTCCAACAATACTGTCAAACTCAAGCTGTGAACATGTGTGTACAGGAATAGTAAATAAACACATTTTTGCAAGTTGCTAATGCCACATAGTATGCATTTTTGTATGAAGCATTACAGTGGATTGTGTTCTGGAAACGTTTTTACCAAGCTTTAACCCCTTAAGATCGGAGGGCGCACTATTACGCCCTATTTTAGGCGGCTCTAAACGCCGCCGGGCGTAATAGTACGCCCTCCGGTCTTTCCTTACTTACCCAGTCGCCGGCGATCGCGGTTGGGGGGACTCCCAGGGAGCCCCCCTGTGGCAGATCTTCCTCCTCTGGTGCCCCCCGGCCATGTGAGAGTGAGGTCCTTGCGAGGACCTCACAATCACATGGCCGGGATAGCTGGCTGCTGTATTGCCAGCAGGGGGACTGCCTGTAATGACAGGTGGTCCCCCTGCTGGCTGAAAATAAAATAAATGTTAAAAGTGTAAAAAAAATATATACTTAGATCATACATACATATATATATATATATATATATATATATATATATATATATATATATATATATATATATATATATATATATATATATGTATATACACATATACATACACACACATACACTTTATAGGTGTATTTTACTATTAATATATATATAATTATATATATATATATATATATATATATAAAAATTACACGTAGACTGATACTGATTAAATATATATAATTATTGTTATATATATATATATATATATATATATATATATATATATATAATAAAAAAATTAAATATGTAAATACGTAAAAAAATAAAATATATAGATGTGTTATTTCGTTCTAACTGTATTGTGATATTTATATATATATATATATATATATATCTCAAAATACACGTAGAACGAAATAATATATATATCTATATACATAAATATATACGTATATATCACTAAATATATACCTATATATAAATAAAAATATTTTTTACAAATTATATATATATATATACACATATATTAATTCTACATATATATTTATGTAATATTTTTACATAATTGGGTATCTTAATTAATTACAATTAGCGGGACCTGCCTGACAACCCTTGCCGAAAGTAAAGGGAATTTAATTTGCTAGCACTATATTTAACCCTATAACTTTCCAAGACACCATAAAACCTGTACATGGGGGGTACTGTTCTACTTGGGGGACTTCGCTGAACACAAATATTATTGTTTCAAAACAGTAAAATGTATTACAACGATGAGATCGCCAGTAAAATGCAGTTTTTTGCATTTTTCAAGCAAACAGCACTTACACGGACGCTATTATTGCTGCGATTCATTTTACTGTTTTGAAACACAAATATTTGTGTTCAGCGAAGTCTCCCGAGTACAACAGTACCCCTCATGTACAGGTTTTATGGTGTTTTCAAAAGTTACAGTGTCAAATATAAGGCTTGTGTTTCATTTATTTCACATTAAAATTTGCCAGATTGGGTACGTTGCCTTTGAGACCCTATGGTAGCCCAAGAATGAAAATTACCCATATGATGGCATACCATTTGCAATAGTAGACAACCCAAGGTATTGCAGACGGGGTATGTCCAGTCTTTTTTAGTAGCCACTTACTCACAAATACTGGCCAAAATTGGCATTTTTTGCATTTTTCACACACAAACAAATACTAACGCTAACTTTGGCCAGTGTTTGTGACCAAATGGCTACTAAAAAAGACTGGACATACCCCATTTGCAATACCTTGGGTTGTCTACTATTGCAAATGGTACGCCATTATGGGTGTAAATTTCATTCCTGGGCTACTATAAAGTCCCAAAGGCAACGTAACCAATCTGGCGAATTTCAATTTCAAATGTAACATGCTCTATTTGACCCTGTAACTTCCCAAAACGCCATAAAACCTGTACATAGGGGGTACTGTTTTACACGTGAGACTTTGCTGAATACAAATATGTGTATTTTATTGCAGTAAAAGCAAACAGTATTATGACATTGACAGTTAAAATGTCACGTAGAACTAAAAAAATAAAAAATAAATCTTATTTTCTCCCATTTTTTTCATATTAAATTATGTTTCATAGCTCAATATTTGATATTAAATGAAAGCCCTGTTTCCCCTGAATAAAATGATATATAATAAGGGTGGGTGCATTTAATGTGAAAGAGGTGAATTACGGTTGGACAGACATGTAGCACAAATGCCAGGTTTTGTTTACATTTTGTTTCGTTCACAACGAGTACATTTGGCTCCGTCCTTAAGGGGTTAAAGAATGGATGGACAAAAAATATAGAAAAATAAAAATAAAAAAGGGGTACAAAAAACTTGGGTATATACCCCTATCAGGGGAAAAAAAAACAGTGAAAGAGGGCCATGAGGGAGAACAAAAAAAGTTTCTCCATCTCAGGGTGTTAGGCCCAGGTTGGAGGGAGAGAAGGCTACTGGGTACAAGGGGAGCCAATATAAATAGTAAAAAACAAAACAAAAAGCAACTTTTTAAGTATGACATTTGAAAGGACAAAAAGCACAAAACAATAAAAAATTATAAAATTAAATAAATATGAAATTATATAAAATTTGGATTGTATAAATTTAGAAAGTTTTTAGTAATCGAATCAATTTCTGAAATAAACCGTAAAGGCACATATCAAATAACTGTTGGTGTGCAAACTCAAAAAAACCCCAAAAAACTCATAAAACTCATAAAAAATAGAAACAAGTCAAGATTCAAAGTAATCCCGATAAATCTCAGGACTGGAGCAGTACTTGAAAGTCTATTTCAGAGATAAAGTTTTCTCAGAACCATACCATAAAAATCAATAAAGAGAAAAAAAAAATCATAAAAATAAAAGTCTAAAAATCTATAAATAAAATTCCTTTGTGAAGCTAGGAAGAACATCTCAACTTAAAGTGTCGAACAACTTACGACCGTGGAAAACTAAGACTGTAGCTCTATGAGCTGGAATCTCAGGAAGTGTCCGATTTGCTTCTCTTGCTGGCCTGCATAGGAGTAGATGGCGAGAGTCTATGAGGCGAAACCTGACGTCTATTCATGGATTTGATGAGTTCCATTCCCTCCTCAGGCACGTGATTATGAGATTCTGGCCATCTATGCGGGAAAGGACTTTAACTGGGAATCCCCATCTATATCTTATCCCTCTTGGTCTTCACTCTGCAGTGAAAAGTTGAAATTCCCTGCGTCGCCTCATTGTTTGACCTTCATGCCACTGTAATCCCCCATGAGGCCTGACGTGCGTACTGCAACCGCAGGTGCATTGCCGGGTTTGGGCAATCTATGGATGCGGTCCAGTAGTAAATCCGTATTATTAGCAGTTGGTAGAGCTGACTTCACCATTGTCTAGAAATAATTTGGCAACTCCAGAGAATCGATATTATCAGGGATCCTCCTGATCCTTGGGTTATTACGCCTACTTCTATACTCTGCATCCGCTAACTTTTCCGCTTGCTTTTACAGTTTCAACCAGATCCAGGTGAGATTGCTCTTGAGAGTGCAATCTATTCTCTGTTATTTCCGTTCGTTTTTTAATGCCCTCCATGGCTCCATATAATGCGTCAAAGTCTTTTTTAAAGTAGTTTTTCAAATCAACTCTCAAATCTTTAATGAGTTGAATTATCATGCCAGCTGACAGTGGCAGGTCTTCTGCCAGTTCAGGTGGCATATTGGGATTGTAAGTCGCTGCTTTAAATGTGGTAGTAGCCATATTGGAGGTGGCAGTGGCCATCTTGGGAGTGGAATACACAATATGTGGACTAGCAGCCATATTTGTTGTGGCATCATGACTTATTCTCTGTGGTAGTGCAGAATAAGAACTTGTTTGGAGCACTTCAGCTCCTAATTCCATACTATTATCCTCTGGGCTTATTATAGCCCTTACTGTGCCTTTAAAAGTTTTGGGTCGGACAGCAGAGGCCCCACCCGCCGAGACCAACAACCTGGAGGCTGAGGATCCCAATGGGGAGCGTGACCTCACACTGCCTTCCCCTTCACTTGCAACCCGGTCGCATTTGTAAGTGAGCGACCGGGCTGCTCTAGTGCTAGACCGCAAGCGGCTTGCTGATCGTTCCTTTCCGCTTGCGGGAGACACAACGCTGCGCTCCGAGCATGCTGAGTGCTCTGACCGCACACTGAAGTGTCGGCTAGTGCGGCCGCGATCCAGCCGCTCTCAGGATGCTGCGAATGGGTCACGGCCGTACAGGCATAAGTAGGTTTGGAGGGATTTCCCCGACGCCACCAACGATATTTTTAGTGGCGAAACAAGCCCCGAGCCGGGTTTAGAAGCAGGGGAGTGAACTTGGGGACTTTTACTCACCCCGGCAGCTCCTGCTTCCATTTTCTTCATTCCAGATACGCATTTGTCAGACTTTTTTTTTTGCTTCTGCAGGTTAGATATTGGACTGGCTATTTGTAGCTTCGATCAGAGTTAGTCCATTAAGATTAAAATTGGCACTTGTGGAACAAAATTGTCCCCCTTGTCCAGGAGCCTCTCTAAAACGTGGCCATTCAAGATGGTGGCCAAGACACGCCCCCCATAATACTCCTCTTGCCTGTAGCTTGGCGTTTTGATCCTGAAATCCCTGGATCCAGGCTTCATTCCTATTCTGCTTCCTGTTCTATCTGTTCCTGCATCTGACTTCTCAACACCTGTCTTGCTTATCCTTGATTCCAGTACAAGTTTCTAGACTTGGTTAAACTTTGCTTCTCCCTTTCCTGGATGGCTGAATCCCTGTATTTTCTTTGTTTTTATTTATAAAAATAAAATAAAACCTTTTTAGCTCTTGCTTTAACAAACTCCATGTGGCTGTTTCCTTGGAATGGTCATATATTCAAAGAAGTGCTATATTCCTGCAATCAGACTCCAGCTCCACATCTCAAGGTTCTAAATATATGAAGGAAGTTTCCAATACAGTATGTGAATGATGGCATGTCTCACAACTGGTTATTGCCCAGAAGGGACAGAGTCTTGGTATTATGCCGCCATATTGGTTGCTTGCTAACCAGTCTCTCTGGATTACTATTTTTTTATTATACTTTTTTTCTATAATTCAACATTGGGTTAATAATACAAGATAATACAAGATAAACTCATTTTACAACCAAATGACCTACACATTACTACATTTATTATCCCGACATATCTCATGTTGTTCCATGTTATTACTCCACATAAGCCCTATGTATAACATCCACTGGTACATTTAATCTTGCCATATAGACCTCCAAACATCTACTGTTGCTATAAATAATGCAAGGCGTAGAATGATATAAAAGAAGGTATAGAGATGCATTGTTTCCTATAATCTCTCCTTATACTTCCTCCTTACAATTCCGGTTGGATCCATGTAATTCTCCCTATAGCTAAGTCTACTACTATTGGGCCATGCAATTGTTTTTTCAGTGCTTCGTATATAACTTTTAGGGGCAGTCTTAGGCCTTCACACACCCTGTGCAAAACATGAGTAATTCAGTGCCTACCCTCAGCATTATTGCCATCATTTAACCTAGATAGGTGTAAAGTCAGTTCAGACATAAAACAGCCAATCTAATAGATACACGTATTTAAGATTGCCTGTGTGTGACTCTTAAAGTCGTCAGTGCTGTTTTAAATAAATAAAATATGACTTGCACAGTATGTGATCAGGTAAGCGTTTTTGTGTGTCTGTACAACCATTATGAATGCATGTGGTGTAATATCATTGTGTGAACAGTGTCAATGTGTTCAGAACTTCTGTGTTTGTGCTGTCAGTGTACATTTTACATTGTCTGTATGCATCTATGTTGATTCTGTGTGTGCAGTGTCAGTGCATTTGTGTCTTTATGTTTACAGTTTCAGTATTTTTGTAAATCAGTGTTCTGTTATGCATGTGCAATGTGTGGGTTGTGTGTATGTATCTTTGTTGGTGTTCCTGTGTATAATATAATTGTGTGTTCCTCCGTGCATATGCATTGTCAGTGTTTATATGTTGGTGCATGCAATGTAAGGTCCAAATTAGGACATGAGCCCCAATGACTAATTTAAAGCACAATTATAAAGTGCAGTTTACATGATGTTCAGCCAGCCGTGAGGGTTAAATGAGTAATAGAAAAACTATTTTCATATGACAAAGTCCTCCAGATCTTTTGTAAAGTGCAATTCTCATTATGCCCAACTAGGCATGTATATTATGCCCTACATCAGCTCATAGTTAGAGATATATTATCCCCTGCATTGTCTCTCTGGCCTCACAATTCTCTCCCGTCCCCACAAATGAACTTTCAAACATCTTTAATAATCACTCCCTAGCCACCACAAGTTATATGTATATCCTACAATAGTTGTTGTATTGTGGCCATGATGTGAATGCTAAGGGCAGCATTGTGCTTTTCTTCTCAGTCTTTGCCTTCTCCTCAGTCAACGGCAGCAGTCAGTGGAGAGGGCAAAGACAACGCAATTTCAAATCCCTGCTTGTTTAACTACACAGCTACCAGTCACAGAGAAATAAGACTAGGAGTGCTACTTGGCTGCTGTTTGAACAGCACAGGCTTTATTTGAGGCTGTCTGGATGGTGCCAATATTGCAAAAACAGGGATGTTGAGTGCTATGATGTCACGTGTGTGTGTGTGTATATATATATATATATATGCGCAAGTTAGCATGGCAGGTATTTATTTTATTTTTTTAAAGTGGCAACCCTGGACCCCTTGCCAACCCTACAACAACTCTTGTGGGCAACTAGAGAGGTGGAGAGAGGCAGGTGACTATGCCACATCCTGCTTCTGGGTTGGTTAAAGGACCACTATAGGCACCCAGACCACTTCAGCTCAATGAAGTGGTCTGGGTGCCAGGTCCATCTAGGATTAACCCTTTCTGCTGTAAACATAGCAGTTTCAGAGAAACTGTTATGTTTACATTGGGGTTAATCCAGCCTCTAGTGGCTGTCTCATTGACAGCCGCTAGAAGCGCTTCTCACTGTGATTTTCACAGTGAGAAGACGCCAGCGTCCATAGGAAAGCATTGAGAATGCTTTCCTATGGACTGGCTGAATGCACGCGCGGCTCTTGCAGCGCATGCGCATTCAGCCGATGACATCAGAAGAGGGAGGAGAGTCCCAGCGCCGAGGGAGCCTGGCGTTGGAAAAAAGGTAAGGGATTAACCCCTTCCTCCCCCTTAAGCGCCACGGAAGTGGGACCCTGAGGGTGGGGGCACTCTCAGGGCACTATAGTGCCAGGAGAAACGAGTTTGTTTTCCTGGCACTATAGTAGTCCTTTAAGGCATTCTTTGAACTCCACAACTGGTCTATCACTGGCAGTGCAGCAGCATTCTCTCTGTGTAAGTCCTGTGCACCTGCCCAGTTGCACAACTCTGAGACTTGGCCCTGATCCATATAATCCTTTTTATACCATTCATACAACCCATCCCTAGAGTGCTTTGTACTGCCTCGTAAAATCACTCTGTACTTATAACGCATCCATGCATTCTTCTCCATAACTTAGTCTACTGCTGTAAATACCAATTCCATAGTTTCTATAGCTAGAACTAAAAGTATTCCACATAATGGTTCACTGAAATTCTTCTTATTGCCCCTACAACTCTCCCTAGATTACCTGCTCATGTCTTGCATATCCACACCCGTTATAGCATCTTGTTGTGCTCCATATAACCCCTCTCAATAACTACTCCAAGTGCCTCAAATAAACTTTTACTATGTTAATATGCAATATAACCCCTTATTACAGTTCTTAGTAGTCAATGTAGTATTTCACTATAACTACTCGTATTAGTGGCTGGTCTTCCCCTTTAAAAAGGTTAAATCTTGCCTTTATTCCAACGCTGCATGGGTCTGCCAGCGCATGACCCGCCCCTGCTCCACCTCCTTGGCTGAGATCGTCAAATTTGATCTTAACCAAGAAGGTAGGACGGGGGCAGAGCCAAACGCTGCGCTGGGCAATCTGCATCTCCTCATAGAGATGCAATAAATCAATGCATTTTTATGGGGGAAAGTAAAGCTTCTTCATGCAGCGTACAGAGATGCTGAAGTCAGTTCTGCATGTTGTGTGACTGCCACTGGGGGTGTAACTAGGCAGTAATTAATCTCTGAAAAGGCAGTGTTTACATTAAAATGCTTGCAGGGACATACTAAACACACCATAACAACTACAGTATGCTATTGTTGTTCTGGTGACTATAATATCCCTTTCCGTATATCTCATTCTACATTTCATTCTGTTGCTCCACATTTTTGCATTGCTTCATAGAATTGTTCACTAAAATGCTTGTAGCTCTGTGTTAGAAGTCCACTGTGTAACTGCTTCTTATATCATTCCCTGGTTTCTTGCCAGGAGATTCATGTCCACAGTGAGTCTCTGCCTCATGCTTGGCTCTGGACACAGAGCTCTCTTTGTCAAGGCTGATGGTGGTGGAGACACTTACTCTCTACCACGAGATAGGCAGTGAGTGGAAGCAACTGTAATTTATAATAAACCTGTTCTGCATAATATCAAGTCAACCACAACCTTTCTCTTGTGATTTTCCTGGCTGGAGGTAACAGGACGCTGTGTTTCATGTAAACTTCTGACCTCTTTCTAATTCTTTGTGCTGCACAAATGTTGCTCGTGTTTTTACATGAACCATATGTGAAAATAAAGGGTTACTAGGTGTTCTCTATTAAGTAAAACGTGTTATTGGGCTCTACTAACTAAGCGCATGATTATGCAGCTAACATAGTTTAATTAATAAAGGGGACACCACAGGTATCATAAGGGTTAGATCTCGTATTGTCCCTTTGTGCATCCACATAGATAAATACATAACATAACACTACCTGCACCCAGGGCCAGATTAAGAGCCCGGTGGGCCTGGTGCTGACAATTATGGGGACATACTAAAAGGAATGACAGATTGGAATGCCCATAGACTTTAACAAGGCAGTGGAATGCCCATAGAGAATAATGGAAGTGAAAGGAATGCCCATAGAGAATAATGGAAACAAAGTATTCCAATTAGAGAAAAAACTATTAGACATATGAAATACATCTTTTGCCACAATACTCTCCAGATTCAGTGTAAATTTTTGAAATTGATTTTAAGTGGGATTATCATTGTTTTCTATAGAATGACAATGGTGAATGACTAAAGAGAATGCCCATAGACTATAATGGGAAGTAGAATATAAACTCATTCGCAGGTAAATCTGTGTTATGTAGCAAATTTATCTTTACCACATGTGTTCCCCAAGTACAGCAGTAGATTCTAAAATGAAAAATAACTGGGATTATAGCTCTTTTCTATGGAATGACAGGTAAATGATACAATGGAATGCCCATAGAGTATAATGGGAAGCAATATGTGACTTGGAATCTGAACCGTGAAACATATCAAGTCAATCTTTTGCAGGCATACTCTACACACTGAATTTGAACACACAAAAAGATGTGGAATAGTGGCGCTATATAATTAGTGAATTGTGGTTTTAGCTGCTATATACACTCCGTGGGTACTCCTTATAACCCACCATACATAATTAAACACCAAAAAGAACAGAGAAAACTTTGGATCTAGGTGGATATTTATATCTCCCAGATCTTCAGTTCTCATGAGTGTAGCGCTAAATATATAGTGAAATTTTCAGTGAAAGGACAGTGCTAAACACGCACTTACCCTATATATTGTGCTTTAGTTTTCTTAGTGATATATAAAAAAAGAAAACACAGAAAAGTACAAATAATAGTGTAGTATGTTAAATAAATATCCAATAAAGTCCTTTAGTTGTGAATGATGAATTGAAATAAACTCACATTTTTTAGAGCCTTTTACAGTTATAAGGCTCTAAACTTCCAGGTGTCTGTGTCTTTTTAGGGTAGATCACATGACCCGTCTCTCAAGGTGAAAAAGAGGGTAACTTCCTCTCCACGTTGCATAGAAAAAAGACACAGATATCCCCAATCTAAATGTAGTATTTTAGATACCGATATAAATCAATGTAAATAAAATACAGAATTGCTCACC